AACCCGTGGCCCTTCGGCACCCATACACGCATGTCATGTACGAATGTTCTATCGAATTTGCATGGTGCTGCGGCCCACCTTGGGACTGCAACTTGCAAATTTGGGTGTTTCGGATTGCACAACTTTCAGCGGACATTGCAAACAGTCATCGGAACATAGCCAGGACCACCCGATGCAGCTTTAGCTGCCCTTGTCTCTCATGCATGCCAAAACTGCAATTGCTATAGGGCTTGCCACGTTGCCGGGTTTGTCGGCAGTGTTTGCGCATGAGTATCGCCAACATGTCTGATTTGAGTCGGAGATCAGCCAGACAAATTGCTGCGCCAAGCCCAGAGTTGTATATACACAAATCTACTTCGAAACTTGCTTTCACTTCTGGACCACGAGGGCATTTGCGTTTGCAAGGTTCTTTGCAAGTCGGAGTGTAGTGGAAATGCAGGCCCCGTGAGGGGGATTGCTGCTTTAGGACCGAGCTGTCCTCCAATGTCTGCAGGAGCAGAGCATTGGGTGAGCCTCTTCCGAACAAAATTTGAGACTCCTGCAGAGCCTCTCTTGCCTCATTGCTAGATTGCTAGGAAGCCCTTCGTATCGCCGCCAGGATGATATTGATTGCAAGTCCCCAGCTGTCTGATTACAGCATATCGACCCTTCAGCGCCGTTGAAGAAAGCTTGGCAGGAATAATACAAGACAAAAGTGACATGCAAGCAGAAGTACATGCCTTGCCCACTACTTCTGGTAGCTTAGCGGCTTAGCGGCTCTAGCATGCAGTGGTGAGAGGATTCTTCTCTCGCGTGTTACACTGCCGTCCAACCGACCTCAAAGCCCATCAACTGAGACCGGCAATTGCTAAGTCCTAAGTCCTTGAGTGCTCTTGGGCCTGAAGCCTTCTTCGCCTATTTGACGGTCTACGATTGCTGTGGTTGTTGCTCTCACAGGTTACTTGCTCCTGCATCCTCGTCGTCTGCTCCACACTCGAAAACTATGTCCACCAATAGCCTTGTAGCTAGGCCCGATCCCCTAAATGCGGAAACAATTCCAATGAGGTCTTAGAGGTCTACAGCTTCACCCTGCAACCAGGGATGTGCACGACAGCCCTTCAGGCTCAACCTCTCCGCGGGATCGTATCGGAGGAGGGAGCTAATGATGTCCTGGGCGGGGAGCGTCGGGTGCGAAGCTCTAGCTTGAATGTCAAACTCGAGCGACGGAACTCTGAGGCTTTTGCCTAATTGGGGCTTGCGGGTCCTGGGTGTCTAGCAGGGTCTTTAAACTCTTGTGTTCATGCTCGTAGTGTCAGGGTTGGAAGTGCAGACACAGGGAGAACTGGCAGGGTTCGGCTTCAGGGCAATGGCTTCCTGCGTTGCGACAGAAGCTAGGCCAGAACATGTTCCGAGGCTATGCTTCAACAACATCTCTCGGTTTCCTTCGCCTCCTCGGTGAGGTGATCGAAGTGATCTGCAGTGAAGGTCCATGACTTCTGCGCAGTTTCCTGAACGGGCTTAATCATTGCCGCAACGCTTGTTGCTCTTATCTGGTTGCAAGATTGTCAGTGCTCTGACGCTGATTTCGTAATTCTGGCTGCAGTTGACATAGTCGCAGAAGACAACAGATGTCAGCACTAGGAGTAGCAACTGAGTAGGAGCAGTAGTCGGAGTAGCAGTAGCATCAGCAGCCGTAAGCGTAGCCGTAGCCGTAGTTGCAACCACCGTCGTAGTCGTGATCGTAGTCGTCGTCGCAGAAGAAGCAGCAGCAGTAGTAGCAATAGTACTAGAAGTAGTACTCGTACCACTACCCGTACTCGTACAAGTACGAGTACCAGGACTAGAACAAGTACCAGTACTAGGAGCAGCAGCGGGAGCCGAAGGAGCAGCAGTAGTAGTAGTCGTCGTCGTCGTGGTGGTAGCGATAGCGGTAGCGGTAGCGGTAGCGGTAGCGGCAGCGGCAGCCGTGGTGGTAGTGGGAAGGCGGTAGTGGTAGTGGTAGTGGTCGTGGTCGCGGTAGTATGGTAGTCGTAGCAGTAGTGGTAGTGGCAGTTGTTGTTGCTGTTGTTGTCGAAGTGGTGCCAGCAACAACAGCCTTGGCAGAACGTTCACACCGATTCCAGTGCTGGCCCTACTTGCAATCTCGATGCCGACGTCAGTGTCAGTGTGTCAATCTAGTGACAATTGCAATATGTTGCAATACAAACGTAAATGTTGACTCTGACGGTAGTCTCACATGATGTCAATGCAAGTGAGAATGCAAAGGCGGCTGTTGACCTCAACACAGACGTTAACACAAATGTCAGCAATGATGTTGTCGCTGATTGAGGAGTGGCGGTGCTGGTATTGCCGAAACCATTGGCATTGGCGATGGGTGTTGATTTTGGTGGTTTTAGTATTGGTATTGCGGTTGCTATTGCTGCTGCTATTGCTTGTTGGTTTTGGTATCGGTATCGGTATTGGAATTGGTGGTGCTGATACTGCTGTCGGTGGTTAGGGTACTGGCATTAGTATTGGTGGATGTTGTGCTGGTGGTGCTGCTGGTGCTGCTGGTGCTGCTGGTGCTGCTGGTGCTGCTGGTGCTGCTGGTGCTGCTGGTGCTGCTGGTGCTGCTGGTGGTGCTGTTGCTGCTGGTGCTGCTGGTGCTGCTGGTGCTGCTGGTGCTGCCGGTGGTGGTGGTGCTGGTGGTGGTGCTGGAGGTAATGCTGGTGGTGGTGCTGGTGGTAATGCTGGTGCTGCTGGTGCTACTGGTGGTGGTGCTGCTGGTGGTGCTGGTGGCGGTGGTGGTGCTGCTGGTGGTGCTGATGGTGGTGCTGCTGGTGGTGCTGCTGGTGGTTCTGCTGGTGGTGCTGGTACTGGCGGTGGTGCTGGCGGTGGTGCTGGTGGTGCTGGTGGTGCTGCTGGTGGTGCTGCTGGTTCTGGTGGTGCTGGTGTTGGTGCCGGTGGTGGTGGTCGGTGGTGGTACTTGATACCTATTTGAGGGCGTCGATACTAGCAGCAGTAGCATTAGATTGGCACTGCTATCGGGTATTGGTGCTGGTACCGCCACTGACAGTAGTGCTGCATTGGTAGTGGCATGGACAGTTGCATCTGCATTGGGCAAGGGCTTGGTCTTTGTTCGTGGTCTTGGTGTTGTGGTACCCGTTGCGGTGGCGCAGCAGACGGCGGCTGTGGTGGCGAAGGTGATTCTAAGGGTTGCTGGTGAGCTCGCGCTATTGCCTTTGCTAACGCTGCTTCAGCCCCAAACCCTAGGCCCGAGCCAGGCGGCCCGAAAGGGAAAGTAGCCGTTGAGCATCACGAAGAGAGCCACCCCGAGGCTCCACAGATCAACGGCAGGACCATGCTCGCCACCCAACCTTACTCACAAGCAGGGGCATCAGACAGGCAGCGATGAGTACGAGTAGCAGTAACAATTGAGAAGTCTAACAACTCCAGTAGAAAAGTAGTGAGGTAGTCGCAGTAGTTGCGGAGGTGGCGGTGCTTGTAAGCAGCTTTAGCAGCAGTAGCAGTAGCAGTGGCAGTGGCAGTGCCAGCGCCAGTGCCAGTAGTACTACTAGCGGCAGCACTATCAGTAGTAGTATTTTTTGATGATGTAGCTGGAGCGCGCGCAGCAACAGTCATAAAAGTTGCAGCAGCCGCAGTAGTCGCAGCATTCGTAGCAAAAGCGGGAGCAGCAGTAGCAGCGGCAGCAGGAGTAGTGGTAGCAGCGATAGTAGCCAGCAGCAGTAGCGGTAGCAGTTGCAGTTGCTGCAGCAGTAAGTAGACATAGAGGCAGTAGAGGTAGTAGGGGTAGTAGAGGTAGTAGAGGTAGTAGAGGTAGTCGAGGTAGTGGAGGTAGTAGAGGTAGACGAGGTAGTGGAGGTAGTAGCACCAGCAGAAGCAGTAGTAGCATGAGGGCGGCGGAGGTGACGGTGGCAGTGGCAGTGATGCTCGGGCTCGTCGTGCTGGTGGTCGTGGGTGGGTAGTCGTGCTGCTGGTGGTGACATAGGAAACTGAGTGTGCTCATGGCGAAGCGATGGCAATCGCGGTTGTGATGGTGATGGGGATCCTTCTGACTTTGGTGACAACAGTGCTGGTCATGCTGCTGATGACACTGCTGTTGATGATGCTGCCAATCTTATCCCACACAGTGTCATGAGCATTCTGACTTGATTTAGCTTCTCTCAGTCAGATGATGATGATCATGATGAGCATGATACCGATGATAATCATGATGCTGAAGTAAGGCCGTGAAGCAGCAGTTCCGGAGCCATGTAGGGAGGCGTCCCTACGGGGCCCTTTGCGAATGAGGTCCCCCCGTCCGAGACATTCGAAGAGCCAAAATCGGTTATTCTGACCTGCAAGAGGGGTTCAAGCTTTCCGAGCATCCAGGGCGCAAGAATCTAGTCCGAAGGTCTCTGCTGGCGAAATTGTGCAACAAACCTTGGTCCTGGAGCATCAACTTGTCTGCAATCTGCAAAACTGGAGGCTTCCCGAGCAGTACAACCTTCTACATCTATTGTGCAACATGCACAGAGGGACACCTTGAAATGGTCAGAGGTACTGGTATAGTAGCAAGAGTAGTAGCAGTAGCAGTAGCAGTCGCAAAAGCAGTAGCAGTAGCCTTAACCGTAGCCGTAGCGTCGCGGTAGTGGTAGCTGCCGTAGCCGTAGCCGTAGCCGTTGCAGTAGCAGAAGCAGCAGCAGCAGCAGCAGCAGCAGTAGTAGTAGTAGTAGTAGTAGCAGCAGCAGTGGTCGAAGTAGTGCTAGTAGTAGGAGTAGCAGTAGCAGTAGCAGCAGCAGCAGCAGCAGTAGCAGCAGCAGCAGCAGCAGGAGTAGTAGTAGTAGTAGTAGTAGTAGTAATAGTAGTAGTAGTAGTAGTAGTAGTAGCAGTAGGCTGCTGCTGCTGCTGCTGCTGCTGCTGCTGCTTCTGCTGCTGCTGCTGCGCCTCCTCCTCCTCCTCCTCCTCCTCCTCCTGGTGCTGCTGCTTCTGCTACTGCAACTGCTACTACCAGTAGGTAGCAGTAGCAGTAGTGGGTGTTGGTCTAGTAGTAGCAGCAGCAGCGATAGTAGTGCGGGTGGTAGTGGCAGCAGTACGTCACTGATATGCCGCAACGACCGTTCCCATCAACACGATCACAGGTCTCCGCTTCTTATCCGCATCAGCCTGGCTTCATCATACAGCACGTGTATATCAACAGCCTTAACCAAACTGAAGCTGCAGCCTCGTACAGCCTGTAGCCGTTGAGGTCGTGCTGCCCCTGAATGAGAATGTTCTCAAGCTTCAGGTCGCGGTGAAGGATATTCTTGGAGTGCATGTGCCTTTACTGAGTTTACTACCATTAACATCCAGAAACTTGGTTCACTCACCACCATCTTACTGCAAACGAACCCGGAACACGAAGTCACTAAGTCACGCCAGAGGGGATTCAAAGACAACGTGTGCTAAACAGCTTCCAGGTGCTCCATGCCATCCAAAATCTGAGAGCAGATGTGCTTCGCCTGAAGCAGATCCGAACAAAATCTGAGTCGCACCCGAAGCTCAGCAGATCCGATTTTGAGCACAGACTAGATCAAAATGGAGGCAAATTGATCTCCGAGCGTACCGCTTGTTAGAGAATGAAAGGCTTCAGCTGTCGTCAAGTCTTCTTTGGCTCTTAAAAGGTTCTGATTGGTGGCCGCAGGCCTGCGAATTCCTGGGCGACACTGCTGCACTAAGTGCGGCGAGACTCCTCCATTTCATCGAGCCGCCGGCGCTCGCTGCTTACCTGCGGATCACACCGGATTCCATTTTGTTCCGGTTGCGGCGTTTCGTCCTGTTTCGGCAGTTTCAGATTAGGGTAATGCCGCCAGAACCTTTGGGCTCCGAGCTTTGTGCTTCTTGCACTGCTGAAGGGACAGAGGATTTAGCATATTGCAGCTGTGCAGACCATTTATGCGTGCAGACGCGAGCCCCTGAAAACCGTTCCTTGCACGGAGCTGGCGAAATTGCGCAGAACAGGCTTGAATCGCCTGCTGTGTAGAATGTTTTGCGCGGAGTTTCCGTCGTAATTAATGCACTTGCACATCCAAATCCCTCCGGTCTGCAAGCCGCAGAAGGGGATCTCACACCCGAACATCAAACATGCTGAGGCTTTATCACTTCGGAAGGTTGAGCACAGGTGAGGGGACAGGGAATCCAGGTGCTCGGGTGCTTTGAACTTTGCAAGGCATCTAAGGCTACCGTAAGCTTTCATGGCTTCACCCGGGCTGCCACGGCTTGTAGTAGGTCACCCCCTCGGGCAAGATCCATAACCTCCGCTGGCTCAATTTCCGCATGGGGTGCGAAAACTTCGTCATGCATGAGCCCTGCAGCGCAGCCATGCAAACAAGATCAATATCTGTGCAAAAGTGAACCGAAGCGGATTACTTCTGATCTTTGCCGTTTATTCTGGCGTGCGAAACCCGACTACGACAGACCGCCCCCCGTCTGCCTCAATGACCGGAAATTCCCGGAAGGCCTGGACCTAAATGATTCAAGGAACCACAGCCGCCCACTGCCCGTCTATGTGAGTGGCCAAAGGCTTCACGATTCCTCAGACTGAACGAAGGATGCAAAGATCGGAGACAACAGGGGATCGTCCATATCAAAGGGCATCATAAAAGCGACTGGGCGGAACACCTTCCCTCTCCCAGGGAGTTCTCCGAGCCAGCAGTCTCGATCTTATTTAGAATGTGACAAAGAACACAACCCCGAAAGACTGCTGGCCAACTACGAGGTGTGGGCTCCCTAACACTCCACCCAATATACTGCTACATACTACTAGCTACCGCATGCTACCGCGCTTGCGGTGCCGATCAAATGCTGCAAACCGAACACGCATGTTTTCAGCTCTCGGCAGTTTTGAATACGGCATCCGACTACCCCCCTTAGCGACACTCCCCGGAGCTGTAGACATTATGCCATCAACTTGTACTCTAAAGCGAGGAAGGAGGGGCATGTGTTTAGTGCTTTCGGATCTGAGGACTCCGAGCTTGGGGGAACCATTTGTTTAGGGTTGGGGACCTCTAGTCACCGACGAAAGGAATTGTGCAAACACATCAGACCATCACCTGCAACAACATGTCAAGGATTGGTGGTTCTTCCGCTTCCTCCGTGCAGACAGCCCGTCATTGATCCCACTTGAATGGCCAACAGATCGGCGCAAAATGAAACCCCGATAGTAACAAGATCCGTCGTCACATGCAGCATGAATCGTCAGCTGACTCAACTTTGGCTCTGTCCTCGTCTTTGCACCACCAGGCTGTATCCCCGAAGCCCAAAGCCATCACAACTGCTTGCCTAAGGGTCGTGTGTGCGAGAGCAGCTGCATTATCTCCACCTGCCGTGTGAAAAACTTCGGAAATGGGATTTACCATCATGGGCTTTGGTTTTATACATGAGCTCGGCTGCTCTCTGCTGTTTTCGCTTGTGAAACTATTCTGGAGCTTCCGCCGGAAACCTTCGCGCCCTGCAGCGAAAAAGCATCACTGCAGTGTAAGCTTCTTTGGAACATGTTTCCCGCCAGCCGGAAAGCACCAGATGCATCAAGCCTGTTGCCAAGGTAAACCAAGCCACGGAAGGGATGTCTGCCCTGTACCATGCACAAACCCTTTCGAGAATCGTCAGGGCAGGTCTGGGTGGAGATCTGCGACGCTTTTGGCTCTCATCTCGAAGGTGTAGGGGCTCCTCCGGGCCTAAGAGACCCACCAGAGGTTTGTCCGGCTGCTCCTCTGCTGTGACAGGGGCCACAAGGAGCATCTGTCGAAAGCCAACGAGGCGACCTCAGCAAGGCCTGCAAGATCCCAGGCTGGGAGGGGGAAGCTTGGCAAGGGCTCCTGCAGAGCAGCAGGATAAAGTCCACCGGAAACGAGGAAGGCGGTGATTGCGAGGACATGCAAGTCTCCACCTTGTTCGCTCAAGTCCTGGTAGAGCTGCGGAACACCGTTTGCACCAAAAACGGCGCGGAGGTATACAGGGCGGCCACGAGTGTAAGTTTGAAAGTCGATTATGTGGTACGTGCAATGAGGGCACACTTGGCTGCATAAAAGCCGGAACGAACACGAGGCAAAGGGGCCGATGGTGAGCTTCTCCAGCTCCAGCCGCAATGCTAAGACACATGCCAAAGTTGCGCCTGCTTTGACGCGTCCGAGGCCAGTTTCGACAGGCGCAACATCCGACGAGAAAAAGTCCGAGGGCTTCACAGCAGAGTCGAGAATAGGTGCCGGGCGCGCGCATCACATAGCGATGGCCCTCGTTTCGGGGCTCTCGCCACAGCAATCTTTCAGGATGAGGGCGGGGTCTGCGAGTCGGGCTTGAGGGGTTTCTTCGCCAAACCAGCTGGGGGGCTACTAGTAGCCAGAACCAGAAAAAAAGGCGATGAGTCGCATAGAAGCGGGCGCGGGCCGCCGCAAAGGCGAGCCAGGGGCAATCAAAGCAGGGATTCGGTCGCAGCTGATTTGGGGGGCACCCGAAGCCTCAATCCAAGACTGTCTGGTCCAAGAGAGAGACCGGTCCAGGATCTCCTGGTCACGCATGCACACCTTTGCCTGCTGAGACCGAAGTCTCCACGGGAGGGCCCCAAGACCAGGCCGGAGCAGGAAGAGTCCACAAAGAGAGACCAAGATGGATCCAACGAGAAGGCTGACTACTTCAATCATCTTGAGCCCCACGTCAAAAACGACACTCTGCTACTGGAACTCAAGAGTCATGGGCTTAAGCTTTGGAATTAGGTTGTGGACCGTGGATGCTTCTCGACCTAAGGTGCATGAGTGTTCCATAAATCGGACAGCTTCGTGTTGGACCCAACCAAGCTCGAAAGCGCGGACAACAGGCTGCCTCCCGAGTAAACCTGTCGACAAGGTGTTTCTTGTGCAGCTGCATGACTTTGACCTCGGCTTCGGGCCGTAGATACTTTGTCACATCCACCCTTTGCCTGCCAGGAATTTGATCCAGGGTTAAGGACATGAGACTAGTTCAGCGAAAAGAGATGGAAAAGGTGTAAGGGGAGCAGTGGCTGGGGGGAGTGTGCAAGTACCCCGCCCACTTATCCGCATAGAGAGCAGGCGGCGGCATACTCCTTTCCGGTATCCATGTCTTTCCCCACATACACCTGTCCAGGAGGCACTCAAGACACGAGGAGAGATTCATCGCTGTGATGACCCCATATGGCAAACTCGAAATCTCCGTCCTTGCCGCGCGACTGCATGTCACTCTCAAGTTCTGGCTGCCTCTTTTGCTTTTCTCTCTCTCTCTCTCTCTCTCTCGCGCTCTCTCTCTCTGTCTCTCTCTTCTCTCTCTTCTCTCTCTTCTCTCTCTTCTCTCTCTTCTCTCCCTCTCTCTCTCGCTCTCTGACTCTCTCTCTCTCTCTCTCTCTCTCTCTGTACATCTTCCTCTTGTTCTTTGTTTCTCAATCTCCCTTCCCATGCGGAAAAGCCTAGCTAGTCACCAAGCATGCAGTGATATCAGCGAAAACTTCTTCAACTTCCTTGCATGTACACTGCGGATTTCCGCAAAGCTGTAAAGGATGAAAGCCTCAATTCCTCAATGCCAGGAGCTCTAAATCCTGCCTGCAGACTGCAACCCTCACCAAGGCAGAAACCAAAAAGCACGTGGCTTAGGAGCCACCCTCCAAAGCCTGAGAATCCAAAAATCCCTCGCTGGCCGCGGCCCCGCGGCCTTGGCATGGCCACCCTGGCCTAGGCGCCTCATCACAGTGGATACCATGTGGATAAGACAGGAGCTTAGGAGCTTGGAGTGCGGTGCCGGATTTCGGGAGTACAACCGGCGTTTACGGGCTGAGGGCGGTAACTTTAACTGGGCTGTAGCATGTTCAATGCCGGGGACACGCGGAGGGAGTCAAGATGTCAGGCCAGCATTTCTCATCATCACGGCCACTTTAGCTCGGAGTCATATGCTGGGAACTTGGCCTCTCCAAGCGCAGCTCGCCAAAAGCACCGCCAAGCGACACAATGGCAATGGGCTCCTAGTGAGCGTCAGAAATTTGTCCGTTGAGGGATCTAGAGCTTTAGTGGAGAACAAAGAGCATACAGCACGTCACGCTAGGAACAGTTATGTTTAGTAGTCGTCACATCCGCACCTCTTCTCCTCGGTCAGAGCCGCTGCTGCCACTGGTGGAGTGCCTGGAGTCCCGATTGCGAGGTAACTTCCAAACCTTGACTCTTCTCGTATCACGTGCTGGAAAAAGCTCCTCTTTACAGATATTGTCGGACAAAGGTATGAGGGTCGCAAAACTTTTAATCAACCGAAATCTCGGTGATGTGAAACCAGCTTCAGCATCTCATGCGTTTTTTGGCCCGTTTTGTGGCTTGGGGCTGTTGTCATCACAAGAGCGAAAGGATCAATGCTTCCAAGTACTGAACAACAGACTCGCTTCAGCACCTGAGCCATGGACCATACGAAGATTGTCTTACCTTTCCACTTAGCCAGTTTCAGGATTCCTCGCCCTAAACCTTAACATATACCATATACCCTCAACCCTAAACCCTGAAAACACGAAGGGCCAGACCGAGGTTGTGAGTCCGTCCTGGAACTCCCCGACTCCTGCACCGGCAGGATTGAGCGTAGGAATTGTTTCCTGTCTGACGCAGCGGGGTCGGACCCAAACCCCCTTGCCTGGTGTTGGGCGTGCCTTTTGTACAAAAGTACACAAAAAACTGTCAGTCTTCTCATTCTGCCAAAAGCATGTCGCATTGGCCGGGCTATGGCAAAGGCGGGTGGGTGCCTTTTCGTGGGGTGGGTGGTGCTTGAGACAAAGTTCCCCAAGAGCCTCGGCCTTCACCACATCTCGCGGCTTCCTCGGCCGCTCCCAGAGCTTGGCAAGAAGGCAAGGGTCCTCAACACCGGGTAATGCGGTGAAAGCAGCAGCGAGTTCTCTGCTTTCTGTTCGTGCCTTCAGCTTTCGATGGTCGGGGGCGCGAGAGAGGCAGCATCAACCCTTTAGCGCAAACGGCTCAAGGTCCTCTGATCCGAGACATCCCACAACTGAAAGCCGCGCATTTCAACCATTGGAATCAAGGATCCACGTCCCATGGCGGACAAAGCCGACTTGCCCCGCAAAGGCCTCATGAGATTTGCAGCCCCTGAGCTCCCCAAGCCGATGAAACCCTGCAGCGGAGCTCCTTCAGCAGGTGCGGTAGCTCGTTGAAGCGCTGTGTAAACTCATCCACAGCCCACTCCTCGGGAAGTGTTCGGTTTTGCGCAGGGCTCTCGGAGACGATGCTTGGGGTTGAGGGTCTGGAGCTTAGGACGGCTAGTATGCAAAAGCACAAGAAAATTGAAAAGACTATTGCACACGTTGCACACACCAAGAACAGAGGCTCTTTGCAAGCCTAAGCTGAAGAGGCCGTGCAGGCTGGGGCGTTCGGCTTATGATTGGACGGCCTGGCTCGTGGTGTTCAAGATCTTCAAGGCATTACGGCTGTTCTCGAAGTACCGACCGGCATCTTCTTGCCGCCAACGCTTCCCCTGAATGGCCCACCATCGCAGACGAGCCTCAGCAGGTGCTAGTTTGGTTCAAGGAGTCAGCGTAGACTCTTCATCGCACAACGCATAATTCAACTTGGGCATCGTGGCTTCGCACTCTGCAGCCCAACCTCGAACGGCCGAGTGGCGTGTTGCTTGTCGGCACGGAGGCGGCAGGGCAGGGCTTGTGCGTTCGGGGCGGGTGTCAGAAAACTTTACGGGCAGCCACTCCGAACGAGCTGTACCAACACAGTATCGTGGACAATAGCTTGTCATGACTGTGCTGGCACTTCGTTCAGCCAACTCATCGTCAAGCTTAATCGGATACTGGAGCACCTTGGCCAGCCCTTCCCGAGTGACCCCCTGCGTCGCTCAGAGAGCGGACGCTCGCCCCACTTTGAGCCATAAGGTCACGAAGCACGGTGCAAGAGAATATAACGACCCGCGTTCCACGGTTATAGTCAGCAGGCGGGTTCCAGGATCGCCTCAAAGGCGATTGAACAAACCGGCAAGTAGAAGGTGCATCAGCAGCAGATCAACATTTCAATGGGACGGCCCGGGTTTGCAAAATCTTCAATCTCCTGCTACATTTACCGCTGCGCAGCTTAATGGTTCACCATGGATGGGGACTTGGTGTGTGGCCTTGCCAGCAAAAACTCCGAGAGCGGCACGTTCATCGACAGCCCACAGAGGCTGAAGAGAGGGGGCTGCCTGCAGCAGCTGTCGAACATCACAAGCGGAGTGGTTTTCGTCAGAGTGGCTCTGTCATATGAGCTTTCAAGCCCTGTCGCTGGCAGTAAATTTTCAACTTCTTCCCCGTGACAAACAGTTGGTCTGTAGTGCATCGGGCTGGAGTTGGTTCAAAGCTTAAAGGACTTTAAGCATTGTTGCACTACGTCTTCGGGGTAAGCGGCCAAGTTTTAGGGGGATTGTTAAAACTCTGGCTGTAGGGAGTATAGAACACTATGCGCAGAGCTGAAAACTGCGATTTTGCTCATGCAGCATGCACCACAACGATGCGAGTAACTGCAGGTCTTTGTGAAGTAAGCAAGATGTGCCTGCCACCGGTTTCGAATGCAGTCAGGCTGCGAATTTGCAAAGACGATAGAGTCTGGAGAAGAATGATGACAAAACTCGATCTGAGCCTGTGCTGGCTAGCACCAACCCGAAATCTTGTTGCATGGCACCTCGTAAACGTTATGGCGGGCACAGGAGTCAAGACACCCCCGCCCTCCTTGTGACTGTCTACAAATCTTGAAGGTTGTTTTATTTCCCAGCTTACTTGGGATTCTTCGAAACTCCACGCAGGTCGTACTCCTGAAATTCGATTCGTTCCTGTCAATCCAGTGCATAGTGATCTGTCGTGGTGGACTATGTTCCCCCTTCTCAAAGCGAAATCGTGTAGTCCTCTGGTCATCGGGTGCTCCATCGACTTTGGTGCTAGCTGCGGAGTGGTTGTGTTCGCCGAGTCGGGCAACTCAAAGTCCGCTGCTGTTGGCATCTCGTCGGCCTCACTGCTGGTGATTCCCCGCAGCCCGGTCCTTTGCATTCCCCTTTGGCTGGGGCTGCATTGGCAGCTTCCCGTCTCTCTTGGTCCTGCTATTCGTGTTCATCTGTCTCCGCACATCGTTCTCCCCCGTGTACGATATTCTCGGCCGCTTCTTGGTGCTCCACGTGCTCGTTGCCGGCTTTCTCCCCGGCCTCGGTGTGCTCCTCCGTCTGCGTGCCCTCGCGGAACGCGTGGACGTTCCCGAACAGAGCTTCTTGCCAGGTTCGACCGCGTGCAACATAATCACTGCTGCGCCTGCGCATCCATTCATGCATGAAGGGAATCGCCTTCTTCAGTTGGCTGGGTGCTTCCAGGACAATGCGGGTGGTACTCTGCATTTGGTTGCTCTCATTCCCCTCTGGTGGGTGTGCTTCTGGCCCACTCAATAGCGTGTCGCCCTCTTGTTGGTCTTCCTCTGTGAAGGCATCGTCGCGGCGCATGTCAACTCCTGGGGCGAGGATATGTACTTCGCTCCAAAGCTGGATCGTATTCCAAGTCCGATCCCCCCCGTGGCTGTCAGAGCCGCGTCGACCATGTCGCTGGCACGCTTGACCTTCGCAGTCACGCGCTTGTGGTGGCCTTTCGGTACATCTGGCGGCATCGGCTCCATGAGTTGAGAAAGCCCCCTTATCTGTGAGGTAGTTGACGATGCTGAGGTCGGTGCTGTATTCCTCATCTGTGAGGCTCTCCCCCCTTCGGAGCCGCATCCCTGTGACTTCTGTGTATGCTTCATGTAGTTCGTTTGGCTCAGCGCACCCGCTACAGCCCCATTCAACCAGCAGCCCTAACAGAGGGGAACCAACACTCAAGACGCAATGCTGCAGCATGCGGATTGCGATTTGGCGAATGTTTGCGATGACGTCCGATGCCTGCTGCGACTCCTTCTACTAGTTGTATCTGCACTACTGCTTCTGCTTCTAATGCCGCTTGCTGTGCTGCCGCGATTCCCATGTCGGTTGTGTGCGGTCTATCGCGCGAGCTGCTGGCTCTGCGGTTGTGTGTCTCTCCTCGTCTGCTGCCGTCGGGCAGTACTGGTGTTCTTTTGCGTCGACAGATCATCCCCCACATTTCTTCTGTGGTTTGTCCGGGTTCGTCTGCTTCGTCTCTTGCCCCTGTGCAGATTACAGCTGACGCGGTGGTAGTGGATGGCGTTCTCTGTCTCTCGCTCTTTCTCCCTCCCTTGCTTGCTTGCTTGCAGGGCGTCTGGGGCATGGGGACGGACCCCACAACCCATGCGCGCGAGCCCTACGCCTGTAGTCTGTGTTCGGTGTGAAACTTGAGACCACTGACCCACGAGCTGTTTCGACGTGCCTACCGTAAAGGTCCCCGAAAGGCCCCCTTACGACCCTAGTTCACTCTCAACCTCACGCCTTGGTCAGCTTGTAGGTCTTTGTGCGGTTGTCCGTGTTCACGGTTGTCGCTGGGCTCGGTTCAGCTCAGCTTGGGGCCCCCGGGGTTCACGTATCCGAACAGGGAGACAGCTTAGTGAAGAGTGCACCGCCTCGAATGTAGAACCAGTAGTTGTTTCCTCTGGGTTTGCCCCCGTTACAGACAAACAGCTTGACTTTGCTACTGGTTTGGTGGCTTATGTTGTATTTGCTTGTGTCAGCGCGGGTCCCCAGGGGAAGCAGAGGCTCTCTCTCTCTCTCTCTCTCTCTCTCTCTCTCTCTCTCTTTATCTGTTTCTTTTTCTCTCTCCCGCTCTCTCTCTCTCTCTCTCTCTCTCTCTCTCTTCCTCTCTCTCTTCGTCATCTTTGTCCTTCTTTCTTTCGGAGGCGTGCGCGAGGAGCTTTCCCCATCAGCTCGCGCTGCACACACTCTGTCCACCCCACAGGCACAAAGAATGCAACAGCTCAGACTAGCAAGCGGAAAACAACGGCAAATGTGAACCTCGCTCCCGCCCTGCCTCCCTCTCGGCTCTCTCTCTCTCTCTCTCTCCCATTTCTCCTTCTCTCTCTCCACCTCTCTCCCTCGATCGCCCTTCCTTCCCTTCCCCCTCCCCCTCCCCCAATCATATACACATAAATTCACACGTGCGTGCATACGTACGTACGTGCGTACATACCCAAATACATTGACCTGTACATGTCCTCATGAAGCAGATAGACCACATCTTGTCAGACAACCGCCATGTGCTTCATATGCTCCCCACACTCTATCCATTCCTCGGAGGCGCAGGTCATCCAGCACCTCCAACAAGCATCCTCTTCGAGGGAGCTCACCAAAGAACAGGGCAGCGAGACAAGCCGAAGCCAGAACACTCGACGCTTCAGAGCTTAGCTCTTCGGGGCTCTTAGTTGCCATGCAATTGAAGCGAAATTGGCCGTATGTTGACCCTGCGTTCAAGCCACACCTATGGAAACTAAATGGTAAGCATAAGCGAAGTTCCTGGCTAACTGTCACTTCGGAAGCACCGAAGTTGGCAGTTTGCAAGCTGCAGGGTTCGATGAACTCTGGGTTTTGGGGAGTTAGGGGTTTGGCATCGAGATCCCGAAGCCCAAAACGCGGAGCCTCAAGCTGCCGCTTGGGAATCAGGTCACGTGTCTCGCCGGCTCAGAGTTCGACTCTCTCCTCCTGGACAGGGATCAGACCTATTGTCGCACATCCGTTCAGGCCAAGGCCTGGATTAAACGAACTTCGCTGCCGCAACCCACCACTCTGGACAGTTGCAGAATACATACCGTTGACCTTGCTCGCGTCGCTACTTGTATCACATGCAGCTCTGGCCGCTTCTCAACGGGCTCAGGGGTCCTTGGTTTAAGAGGGCACTGGCTGTCAGTTTGGAGTTTGAGGTGTTCTGCTCTTGGGTTGGATCCGGCACAGGCCTTGCTTGAAGCATGTGATGCATGTGACCTCTGAACGTTGCACAAGTCTGCCGGGAGATGGAGAAAGCAGGCACTAAGTGCATACTGGAAACCATATTACATATCGCACCCTTGCGAGGCGGACCCTGCACAAAGATGCTGAATGCTGGGCTTGCGATTCGAAATGGCAGCAGGTCAGTAGATGCTCGATGCTCGCACTGGGAGAAGGTAACATGCAAAGGCTGCAGCAAGGTGTCGTTGTATGGAGAGGGATCGCGATGTGTGAAGAGCGACACCTTCCGAATTGTGCCTCCACATTAACAGCTTCAACACGCAAGGAACTCCTCGGCGCCGCCCTGGCTGGACAGCTGCATGATCATGTTGATCCGCCTGTTCAGCCATTTAAGCTGCCTCGGAAGACAGGACCAACAGGTGACGGCAAGGGCCAATGTTGCCCAGTGTGTATGCATGTACCTCGCCAGCTAACTAGCTGGCTAAATACCTATGTATGCATGTGTGTTAATATGCATGTCAATATCCATGAATGTAGTAAGCATGTATGTAATGTGTGCATGTATGTATCTATACATGCATGTGTGCATGCGTGAGTGCAACACATGCATGGATGCATAGATGCAAGGAGGCTGTATGTAGTATGTATGTATGCATGTATATGCATGCATGCAGGCATGCACGTATGTATGCAAGGATGCGTGTATGCTGTGTGTACGCATGTACGTATGCATGCTTGCATGCATGCGTGCGAGCGTGCATGCATGCGGGCATGCGGGCATGCGGGCATGCGGGCATGCGTGGGTGCGTGCGTGCGTGCGTGCGTGCGTGCGTGCGTGCGTGCGTGCATGCCTGCGTGCCTGCGTGCATGCGTGCATGCGTGGATGCGTGCATGCGGGCATGCGTGCATCTGCGCGTGCAAATATGTATGTATGCATGTATGTATGTATGTATGTATGTATGTGTGTAGGTAGGTAGATAGGTAGGTACAAGTAGGCAGGTAGGTAGGTATTGGGGCATTTGGGTATGTTGGTCAGCATAAGCACATAAGTGTGTAGGCATGTACTCATGCATGCATGTCTTCAAACAAACAACAGTACATGCGTTGGCATGCATACCTTCATTCCTTGATGCGTTCGTTCGTTCATTCATTTTCTCAATCACTCTCTCAGCCACTCATTGATATCCCTACATGAAGGCAGGACCTTTTCCCCCGGGTTTCAAACATAAACCTCGGACCAGGAAAAACAGGCCTTTACCCAAATTCCGAGCCAGAATCTGGGTTTTTGAGACAAGCTGCTCCCTGTTGAATTTGCCCTGGGACTTCATCCCTTCCAGCCTGAAATTGCAAGCAAGGCTTGAGGGCCTAGAGCACTCTTGACGTTGTAACTGCTGGGTGAAGGTGTATCGGGATTATTTTCAAACACTAGTACTACCAGTACTACTAGTACTACTGGTACTGCCAGTACTACTAGTATTACTGGTACTACGTACTTCTAGTACTTCCAGTACTACTCCTCTTGTACGACTGGTAGTATTAGTAGTAGTAGTCGTCGTCGTCGTCGTAGCAGTGGTCCTGGTCGTTGTAGCGGTCGCGATAATGCCAGTGCCAGCAAGAGATGGTGGCAGTGCTCGTGTTGGTCCTAGTTTTATTCCAAATCCGGCTTCAGGCCACTATACCACAGTGAGGGTAGCCGGTCATGAGATCTGAGGGCCCGATGATGAAAAAAATCCAAGTGTGGCGCAATCTCATTGCACAGTGACTTGCAGCGCAATATGTAACATACTTGTCCTGGTTGAGTGCGCAGTCTGTCGCTCGGAGAACGTTGATCCATCGGATAGCATCTCTACCCGTGGCTTTTCGGCGACTGCATCTCTCCCCGACCAATCTCAACTGGGCCAACCTTCGTCCTGGAAACTCGAGTGGAACACCTAGCGCTGGAACTGGAGAATCTCGCACTGCTCCGGAAGCAGTCACATGACCGCATGTTGAAAAATGTTGTGACTCGTGGCACAACTGGGCCAGTCCTTCGGAATTGGAGCAGCTGCGCCGACAAGTGTCACAGCTCCAGCGCACTGTCATTCGCCATGAAGATGCGCTCAGCTTGACGCGCCGAGGCACGTCATTCATCATCCATTTCGAGGTGGGTGTCGAAGCTTCGATCACTCCGCCCATTTATCGTGCTCAACATGGATGGCGCGAGCTTTGTAAATCCTCCCCCCACCAGCTGGATGCCCCACTGCGCAATGTGCTTACGAACTGGGTGGCCAAGGAATTCCAAAGCACTGGCAGCTCGAGGAGCCAAACCTCGCAGGACATGCGGGATGGCCTGACCAAGGCTGGTTACCCGGATGTAAGTACCATCCCCTGGCCACGGCAGCATCTTCGGTGGAGCGAGTGCAAGTGGTCAACATCTCGCGTGGACGCATCTCTCATCCTGCGGTGGAAGGGTCATTGGCTACATTGGTGGAAGGGCTCAAGCACTCAAACTCGCTGACTCGCTTCCATACATTCCGCAAGCTGACCAAGAGCATGGCAGGTGACAGCATTGGCTTCGCATTGCAGATATTGCAGTCTCCGTTCCAAGGTGACCAGGTGCGCAACATGTATTGCGCAGTGCTTGAGCTGTGTCATTGGGCAGCCACGCAGCTCATCGCAGCGCAAATTCGTGCAGATCGTGGCCAAAGGTCGGGCCTTGCAAACACAATAGCTGGTGGGCTTGTGACGGTGCGGTTGTTGTGCTGTTGTGGGTTGACGGCGCTGCCAAACGTAGCACAGGCTGCCTTGGACTAGGCAGATAGTCCTCTGGGTCACTCGGCCGACGTGCCCGGGACAAGTTCGCTCGGCCCCTGGATCCCTTCCGAATGCCAAAAAAGTCCGTTGCACTGCAAAGTTTTTCCTTCGGCCACCTGCGGCCATGGCTCTTGCGAGGAATGCTACGCAAGGTTGCTTGCTGAAGGAGATGCAGGATCGACTAGAGCTGCTGCGAGATGACCAGGATCGAAGGAAAAGCATGTAGAAGCTCGGCTGGATCAAGGGTGCGAACGTTCAGCACCTCCGTTGGGACCCGATGCTGAAGAAGCAAGCGAGGGACGAAGAAGCATCGGAGATCTCGTATGGGGACGTGATGGCCATTCTCCAGGCGATGCTAACCCTCTGCAATACGGTGGAGGCGTTGCTGCGCTTCGATCCCACTCGACCCCTTGGGGAGCACATGCAGGTTGATACGGTGGCGTTCCTGTTGCGGTTTTCTCTTCAGAATTAGTGAGAGTGGCTTGCAGCTGTATGCGTTGCCACTGTGGATCAACATTGGTGTGTGGCACGGAGGTGAAGAAGGAAAGAAGCACAAGGAGTCAGCTGGCGAATCAGATTAGCAGCGGCCGAGCAACATATGAAAAGTAGTAGTAGTAGTAGTAGTAGTAGTAGTAGTAGTAGTAGTAGTAGTAGTAGTAGTAGTAGTAGTAGTAGTACTCGTACTAGTATTAGTACTAGTACTAGTACTAGTACTAGTAGTTGTAGTAGTAGTAGCAGTGGCAGTAGCCGTAGCCGTAGTTGTAGTAGTAGTAGTAGTAGTAGTAGTAGTAGTAGTAGTAGTAGTAGTAGTAGTAGTAGTAGTAGTCCGAGTACTAGTTAGTAGTACTAGTAGTACTACTAGTAGTAGTAGTAGTAGTAGTAGTAGTAGTAGTAGTAGTAGTAGTACTAGTAGTAGTAGTCGAATAGTAGTAGTAGTCGTCGTCGTCGTGTCGTAGTAGCAGTAGCAGTAGCAGCAGCAGTCGCAGTAGCAAGAGTAGTTGTAGCAGGCAGGAGTAGCAGTAGTGGTGGTGGTGATGGTGGTGGTGGCGGTGTTGGCGGTGGTGGTGGCGGTGGTGGTGGCGGCGGCGGTGGTGGCGGCGGCGGTGGTGGTGGCGCAGCAGCAGTCGTCTCATGACGTGACTCTGCTGTTCTTGGCCTGCCTCTTCTGCTCCGCCTGCAGGCTTTCCCTGCTCTTCCCGGCGTGCTTGCTCAGGTAAGCCAGATCCTTCGACTTCGAGCGAATGCCAGCGACTGTTGGCAACGATCGGCTTCCAACTTACTAATGCGGGTGCTGCGAACGGGAGAGGCACCCTTGCCTTGCATGTCGCTCCTTGTCTTCACAGTGCTCCTGTGTCCGAACGATGCACTTTGGCACCAGGCGTTCATGGATGAAGGCCTCCAAGACGTCAGCTTCCCATTCCCGCTTGTACCTGGAACATGTCGGGATGCAAGGATTAGCTCTTGCCAAACGATGCCAAATGTTCCGCAGATCGTGAATCCGTCTCCCTCTAGCCACAGAAGCCACGCTTTTCCTGAACACGAAGATCTCTCACTGATAGCAGACAAGCAACAACTGCCCATGTGTTGAAGCCAAGATGCAAGAAGCAAACCGAACCCGAAACCATCGACGAATGTCCAAAGTTCAGTAAGGCAGCTGAGGGACCTGAACCATTTCGACTGCTGCCTCTGTCAGCTGAACTGCAAAGCTGCGAGCTGACTGTTCACGACTGGAAGCATAAAGAGTGAACGAGGCCCAAAACTACACCCCGTAAGTAGTTATAGCCTCCAGTGTTGAAATGATCCCAAACCTGTGGCAGCAGTGTTTGGGACAAGTGTAGGAAGTGGAAAATGTTCACCGGCATTCATTTTGTGTGTTCACGAGGTATGAATTTGTGCCACCGCAAATGTGAAGAGCGTTTCGATTCTACTGTATTTACTGAGATATGCCCATGCCCTCACCTGTCATGCGTGCTTGGCAATCAATGCAGGCATCTGCCTAGTGTGTGCACTTTTCGGGTATGAATGTATGTATGAATGCATGTATGTGTACATACATGCATGCATAGATACATGCATGTTTGTCTATGATTGTACGAAGCATCCCTTGCAGTGGAGCTTTTCTATGTGCAAAGTACGTCAGTCCCTTCTGCCATGTCTTAAGGTGCCACGGAGATCTGCGATGTCATACCATGCATCATGAATGCACGCAGCGTGTACGCATGACTGTGCTTCGCGAACTCTCACACATACATATATATATATATATATAGATGCATATATGCATACACATACTCATGGACATGGACATGGATTCAATGTCATCACCGACCCTTTGCCTCTTGAACCCATCACGTCCGCACAAAACACGCCTGTCGCCTCCACAGGTCTCCGACAGACACGCACACATTGACATAACTGACATAACACTGTACACCAGAAGATCAATCCTCGGCCAGGCCTGTCAAAGTACTTGATGGTGGGGATGTGCCCTGTTTTCTTGTCGCAGACCGGATCGATCTCGTGCTTCTTGCACACTGAAGGCACCGAGCCCGGAGAACTGAGCCTGAAGATTCTGGGTCGGGCCGGCAGGTCGGCCACGCAGGAAGCAATTTGCAACTGGTTGCAACTGGACACCCCGGTCCGAAACCCTAAACTCGAAAGTATGCCCCCAAAGCACGCTGCCTCTATGATGCTTGCAACATCGTATCCTGTGATACTCTTGCTGGCTGATGACAGCACTGCACTGCCTGAAGTGCTGTGACGACTACGCTGCGACTTTACATCCTGCACCATTGTGCCACAACTGCTTTAACTTCTGCATGCCCGGCAACCCGCCCAAGTCGTAGGCTGGCTGGCCACAGTCGATATGCGCCACCAACACCTGTGCTGTGGCCAGTATGCAGATCATGTTGTGTCGTGCGGCACAGCAGCAGGTTGCAACGGCGAGCTAAAACCATCAGCCCACTTGCCTTGTCGGACCCCTGCCACTCAGCCATCAGCTCGGTCCAGGTCGTCTCGGATATAAGACCCATGATTCAAAAGTGGCTGTTTCATGAAAGTAACTTCATTTGAGTGCCTCGAGTTCGGAGTTCGGGGTGCGACTCAGCTGGCACTACATCGACTTGCCATCGCAACACGGATGATGTTTGGCAGCTACAATGGATGTCCAAGTTGCAGCGGATCCATGTTCTTGGCTCTACCCGGACACGTGCTGGCCCTTTTTGGCGCTGTGCCCCCAACCCGTCTCATGCAGCAGAGTAACGTTCAGCTTGTTTTTACACCAGGGACAGAAGTCTGAGCAAAAAAGCACCAGTGCATTCTTTCCAGCAGCCGCGATGGCATTGTCGAAGTTCTCGTTCCTGGGACACCAGGGAGATCGGTCGCTTTCTCGCTCGTGCCATATTTTGGGCGAGCTGACAAAACGCCGTATCACTGCACAGAGGCCAATAGCGAGCCATGCCGAGCCCAATCTTTTTGAGCAAAGCGTGGGACGGAGCCTTGAGCCTGATAGATCTTGACTTCTTTCTGCGCAGGCAATCTTGCATTCTTGCATACGTGGAACCACCCCAAACCCGCCAGTCCCGTCTTCCAGCAGACGGGGAGCTGCAGTTCCACAGCTTGGCAAATCCTCGGACAGAGCAGATGCAACAGTTCTGCTGGAGTTTGGACGAGGTCGCACTTCGGAGATTTCCAGCTTCAGCGGCTTGGAGGCCTGGCTCGGGCTTGGAGTGGTTGTGCTTCTCAAGAACATTGATGTTTTTAACTGACTCTGAGAGCCCGAACACTCTAGAACCGGTGCCTCTACTGCAATCTCTACGAGTTCCAGCAGTTTTCAGCTTTTTCCGAGCGCCTGCAGGAATGAAGAGAGCTGCTGCCTTGTTGAGGCGAGATCGGTAGCAGGTAACCAGCCACAGGACCCATCACATGAGAAGTTGCGCGTCTCTTCGGCGGTTTGCACCGCAACACACTTGTTTAGAAACTCTTTCTGCTCAAACTCACCTACACACTTTACCAGCTTTGCAAAGCCGAAGGACGCCAGAATCAAGGGCATCAATTCCACAAGTTTGGTGCGCCCCATCGCCGTAGCCAAGATATGTCCGAGGACTATGGTCCCAACTGCTTGAACTTTGGATTGGGAAGCTCCGTGTAAGTGTTGGCACTGCTTCGGCACATGCTTCTCCACAAACTCAAAAAATCCGCATCGACACCAACACGGTTTGATGGTGGAAACATCACGCACAAACGTAACAGGTCTCGTTGCAGCTTCTTCTAGTGCTTTGCAGCTAAACATGTCCAAGCCAGCAGTGGTTGAGCCGAAAGCCGTTCCATCTACTCTCGCTCTCCTTTCACAGGAGGTGCTCTGAGCAAGGACACCGAGGACACTGTGAGCAACTTGCCTCTACTACATACAGTACTACATGAACACGCACTAAAAAAACGCGAGGCAGACAGGCATGCACATTAGTCGTCACAAGTCTGTACTATTGTCCGTTTTACAGCATGCTGAAATCGTGCCAATCCCGCCGGTGAGTCTGAAATGCCTCGACTGTATCACTCCATCATTGCGAGAGGCCTGCTGTTCATTCAATACGGAGTCTTATCGGGAGTCGAAACATCACATGTACGAAGGCTCATAGGACTCCTTTCAACGCGTTCCGCAACCAACCAGTACCAAAAGCCACCCATGCCTTTCGTTGGTCCAACCTGGAACTTAGGGCCTTCAGCTCAGTGGCTCAGCACAGATTGATGCGGTCAAGGGCTACCAGGCCGAAGATGTTGCGCAGTGTTGCCACGCAGGGTGCATGCAGAAAGTGCGATCTTCGCCCAGAATCTCTAATGCACTGAAAGGTCGTATGTGTTGAGTCGACGGAGGCTCATGAATCATGAGCCTCCGTCATTGGAACAGATACTTGTTTCGGGTATGTCAGTTCACCGAGACTCTGTAAAATTCATTCGGTACTGGTCATGAGCCGTGAACCGAGGAAGCTGAGATAGGCATGAAACCAACAAGAGACAAAACATGAGCGTCTGTTGAGGTATGAGGATTGGGCGGTCAGTCCAAAAGTAGCGGGAAAGCGTCTAGATGCCGTTCGGTTCATGCCAAGCCTGTGCGCGCGGCGGAAAAAGAGCAATAGCAATGTTCTTTCTTACTGGACTGATGTTCGAAGCTATGTAAAATGAGACCGCCTCTGGCAGCCTGCAACTGCAGTCCTACAGTATTGGAGCATTGAGTCGAACTCGAGAGCCTGCTTGAATGACATCCTTATCCTTCAAAAGCTGCCCTCAATAGCTGATCTCAGAATAGTTTTCCAGCCGTGCAGGCCCACACTACGCATCGCGTTCACAGCTGGCGTCAGGGCTTTCCTGTCAGGCAAATCCGCAGCTCAGTAGGGAAAGAACACAACAGAAAGCAAAGACAACGACAGGAAGATCAATACTAGAAGGCACACAACTACCCAGCGGCAACAGGTCCATTATTATAGGCGCGCTATGGGTGTTGCAACAGGACATCAGTCTTACTTCAACACCGACAAAAACAAGACAAAATTTGTTTACATGCTTCTGCAATCCAGCTGGAGTCAATCGGCCTGGAATTGACGCAGTAGCGGGTGCTCATGCTCCGAGTGCTGGCAGAGTCTACTGTAAAGCCTCGGGTATCGTCGCTTCCGCTACCATTGCACAAACTGCTGCGGTTATTGAAAGTTCAGCAGAACGAACAGGCTTGATTCGCTAATGCGAACATCCCAGGAGCTGGTAGGTCTGGAAAGCTAGCCAGAAGAGCAACAGGAGATTGAAGCCGCTGAAGCCTCGGCATTCGAACGGTTGTCTAGGGAGCCCCAACCTGTCTCTGCAGGATGCAACAACTTGCACAGTGAAGCTAGCCTCTTCGAAAGAGCAACTTTCAGACCCGCCAGGGACATGCGCTAACCGCCAACGCCAGTGCTTATGCACTGCAACTTCTACTGCTACTATTGCTACTACTGCTACTACTACTACTACTACTCCAAATGCTACTTCTACTGTACTACTGCAAGTGCAATTGCAATTGCAACTATTTGTGGCACTGCTACTACTGCTATTACTAGTAGTACAAGCCGTATTCGTAGAACCAGTAGTCTTTTGCTCGCTCAGGATTGGACCAAACGCAAGGACCGGTAGGTGCAGAGCTCCCGCCATGGAGGCCAGGAGCACTACCTTGGAATGTCTTTTTCGGTGTCTGCTGAATTGTCCCGCGTGGAGCTATCGCAGCTCAGCCGAAGGCCACGCAAAGCAAGGAGAGTGCCACCATGAAGTAGGCAGCACTGCGCTGGGAGGCGCCGCAAAGACGACAAAGTGAGATGATCACCTGGTGCGCAGATGACTCACACCAAACAAGTATTGCAGAGTGAGGCTGCTGAAACCGATCATAATAGCAAAGGCGGCAGTAAGAAGAATATCACAGATCCCATACATAGACAGCAGAACTCATCAAAACATCCTGAATCAGAAAAGAACAACACCAAAGAGCGCACGGAAGCAATAGGTCAAAAAGAGCAATGTGACCATCACAACAGCTGCCGCCGCTAGAAAACACTGCGACAACCAAACAACCAAACACCCACCACCAACAACAACAACAGAAACAACAGTTTAGAAAGCGAGCGACAATACTAACAAAGCATGTTTAAAAGCAAACAGTGACTATTTAGAGCCGGTTAATACTGTAAAGGTATCAGGACAAAACAAGAAGACGAACAGGCTCCGAACAGGTAAAAGCAGCAGGAACTGTAAGAAGGATAGTGAAGGAAACATGAACCAGACAGGCACATACTGGAGCTGAAGAGATAAACTGTGCCATCACAAATCAAAGTATATAGCCGAAGGACCGAGAAAGAACGAGAATCGACGTCTACACTAGAATGGGTGTACAGCTATGTGCCAGTTTGAAACATCGGATTCGGGCTTGGAGTGAATATTTTCATGAACATGTACAAGGTAGCAAATCTTTGGCAGGGGTTTTCATAAATATTTATTCCAGGGGTGCGATAGTTACTGTTTTGGGTAGGGTCTTGCCAGATGACAGCGGGTTCCTCGCGCCTGTGAGCAGTCCAGTGGATAGACGGGCACCTGTCAGGACATAACTTCAACCAGCCAAAAACCGTGTCCAAAGCTGTTGGGTTCCATCCGAATGTCGACACCGCCAATGGAGGTTTCTTGCGGGTTCACGTCTGTGCCGTGAGCCGATGCACAAGGTTCGTGCATCGCCGCAAAATCCTTGCGGCTTCGAAAGTTCATCACACAACGCTGAAGCGGGGCGTTGTAAGAAAACTAACTACAACAGGCAGGACAGAAGGTTTGGCGACATGCCTACACTCAGCGATCCACCCACCCCCCTTCTTGACTCGGGAAGAGCGCGCAGGAAATCTTAAATACGCGTGAGGTGGACGATGACGGAAACCACCTGTCTGGCGAAACTATGAAAATACGCGAACTCTCGTCGCCCTGCAAGATCGCCCCATGCACCTGACCACGCTAACCTTTGTTTGCAGGGGTACCGACAACAAGCCGCCTGGCAGCAAGCGGATGCAAAATAGACAGAGGACACCTTGCGGCGGAGGAAGCAGGGCTCACAGGGCCCATGCACGCTGAAAAGTGCCTGAGTGTACCGTGCACGTTGGAACAGTTCAGCTCACAGGTTCGCGGCTGATTCCAAAAGCAATTGCTATAATGTGTTGCCCAGCGCGCAGGCCAGCACACCCGCAGTTGCTCTGCTCTTCCGAAGTTCGGATTTTGGAGTGATGAAGGGCATTCATCCAAAGTCTGCTTGGATCGAAGTGTCAACGCTGAAGCGTGTTTTGGGGCGTGCTGCCAGCCGCCCGACAGGCTGTTGGCGCACTGTTTGGATCCTGTATTGGCTTTGGGCCAAGGCGGGCATCGTAAAAGCCCGGCCACCGTTCCGAAACAACACTCCGGCTTCGCTTCTTTGAAGCTTGACGCCATGGCTCTCGCTGGCCGCTGAACCAGAAGCAAAAAGTTGAACTGTCTGACGGCCCCCACCAGCAGGTTAAACACGACGAGGATGATCTGGAGCTGCATGGCACCGTGGCAGAGACCTGTCGCTCTGCAGAGAACTTCATCCAAGAACTCTACCACCCAAAACTCATAAACCCAAATAATGCACACAGATCCTGCAGGCAAGGAGGCTTTGAGGTCCAAAAGCTTGGGTCTCCTGCCTCGCACCGTCGGAGCCCAGCTGCCAAGCTCCTCCTGTGAGTGAACCTCGGAGGTGGAGATGCAAAAAGCACAACAAATCTCGACGACGACGACGAGGAGGACGGTGCCCGTGACAATGATCATGATTAAACCTTTAATGATGATCACGATGACGATGATCGCAATGATGACGATGATGACGGTGAGTGTGCTGATGATGATGTCATCAGTCATCATCATGGTGATCATGCTGTCCAGGATGACCATAACGATCGATGATTACGATGATGATGGTGATGGCAAGGTGATGGTGATGGTAATGATATGAGGAAGAGAAGGGAGACGATAAGGACAAAGAAGAGGATGATGACGACGACGAGGATGATGATGATGATGAGGAGGAGTAGGAAGACGCTGATGATGGGGATGGGGATGGTGATGATGACGACGATGAGGATAATGATGATGAGGAGCAGGAGGAGCAGGAGGAGCAGGAGGAGGAGGAGGATTAGGCGGAGGAGGGCGAGGAGGAGGAGGATGAGGAGGATGAGGAGGATGAGGAGGATGAGGAGGATGAGGAGGATGAGGAAGACGACGAGGATGGTGATTCTCTTGCTTTTCAGGACGGCGATGATGAGGGTCGAGGTGTGAGTTTGCAGGAGCAGATACAAGCCGAGGTGAAGGCATGTGAAGCTGATGGTCACGGTGGCGAGAAGGGTGATGGGGATGAGAATAAGGACATGGCCGATGACGACAAATAACGACAATAACTGTTGAAGCAGCAAAAAAACACCGCAGGACATGCTGCGGTAACATTCAGCACAGAACCACGGAACTGCTCGGCAAACTGCTGCACAGCCGGAGCACACTATGGCAATAGCAACGATAGCACAAAATAATCACCGTACTCCAGGACCAAGACTGTGCAATGACAACAGTAATACTGGTATTTGAGTGCCCCATGTCGAAAGACAACAGTCAAACTCTAAACTACTCCCTTGCACAGTAAGCTCCAAAGATACATAGTTACAAAACACGGGTTTCAGTAAGAAGCAATGTGAGGTACAAAAAACACTTTGTGGGACAGAGCTACTGACTAGTCGGTCTCTTTTGAACGGTGCCGTCCAGATCGCACTCTGGCTGCGAACTGCATCTCAACGTTGCTTTAGTTGCCAAATTCCCAGAAAGAACAAACCTGCTGTAACTCGCTTCTCCCACACCTGCTAAGAGGCTCCTGAACACTCACCACTCAGGGTCTAGAAGGTTCGATAAAAGCATGTCAATGCAGAACGATGAGCTAGACTGCGAGGCCCTGGCAGCTAGCCTGTACAGGCTAAACCAGGCGAGATACTGCGGCGCGTGAGTGAGGGGTCCTGACGCACAACGTCCGTGTCTTGTTTGTCGTGCTGCCTTCCTCCTTTTTCACGCGCCTGCCAAAGAACTTCTGCATCCACCGTGCTGTGGCTGATCATGTTCACCACGGTGAGATGGAGACATGACAAGATAGCGAGACGGTGAGAAGGGGGGGTATCAAGACTTTGGCCGTTGCTGAACATCTTAGCGTGACTGGCTGCAATTTCTCAAAGTCGGGTTTCGGGTTAATGTTCTTGCCCGTTGCAGGTCTTTGGTTTCGTTTCTATTAGATGAAGTAGCATAGTGGCATAGCAGTGATGGGCACTAGAACCTCCACATGTGGATCCACCCTCTCTGGTGCATGCGCAGTGGTTCGAGTTCGAGGTTTGGGGGTCACGAACGGCTCGAAGTTGACTGTGCATGTGTCCCGGCTGAGGGGATCACAAGGACATGACATACTGCAAGTGGCACACCGCCTCCAGGACAAACTCTCCCGCAAGGAGACCAATAGCATGGAAACAAGGTGCTACATGCAGTGTTGATGGGGGTGAAAGCTTTAGCAACACCACCCCGGGCAGCCAGGGGTCAACGGGCCAAGAGACTAAGGTAGAGGAGGTGCAACACGGTGTCGAACTGTCGGTGCGGGCGTCTTAGATCGCGGCTGCAGTGATCCGAATTTCCACAGCGAAGCCCCCTATAGCCTCAGCCGCACCCCTGGCAGTCCAGCCAAGGCCACCAATAGGTCGCCTTTAGCACCCCCGCCGCTGCTGCAGAAGGCCAAGCCACCCAGCGGCCAGAGCCTCAAAAGCTTCGATTGGGGCACTTGTCAAGGAAAGCATGTGTCAAGGCGCAGAGGTTGGAGCGCTCGGCCAGGCTTTACACAGACTTAGACCTGCCCTCTGTGCAGGAGATGCCGGAGACTCCTGAGATTGTCGCAGGATGCGAGAGACCCGTCCTCCGACTAGCTTAGCTCCTGGAAGCACTTTCGATCACTTTCTAGCAGTCCGGCGCTGCTTTAAACACTGAAAAGTTGGATCGCTGAGGTGGTCGTCATCTCAATGGTTTGGGCGCAGTCCTGCGCAGTGGCCCAGCTCGTGGATGAAGACCTGCTATATCTGAACTGCCTAAACAGCATTAACTCGAAGAGCTGCAAAAGAAAATTGAAGGCATGCACACGATGCTGTCCAGCCAATAGCGATAGACTGGCAGACGGTGTTGAGCATGTGTTGAAGAACCGAGGACCGAACCGTCAGGAAAAGTATGACGAAACTGATGCTGCACCTGAAACATATGTAGCAACTAACCGAACTCTGTCTATCAGAAGCTCAGGTGCCGGCGTCAAGGCGATTTCTGCCGCCTTGGAGGAGGTGCATTGCACCACTCAATTTGCGTCCGGGGTGTGCTGTGTGCGGGATTAGTTTAAGGGTGCCGTGTTTGACATACCACGCTTTAACTCTCAGTTCGTGGCTTCGGGTAACCTGTTTCCACAAAACATTGACCCCTGCAGCCTCCAAGCCTCAATCGCTGTAAGCAAGAAAGCAAGCCAAACTCCAAGCGGTCGGACAGCCCAGCAACAGCATCTCAACCCTGAGCCGTAAGCTCTGCGAAATCTCGACGCTGGACCCGAAGCCTCGGCCCAAAACCTCGAAATGCCCTGCCACTCCTCAGCCACCACGCCTCTTGATGACCTCTACAAGACCCAGAAAGGACACTACATATGTGTGTATAGCTATCTGTATATATATATATATATGTATATACATGTACATATATAAATATATTTACAGATATACAAATATATTTATTTGTACACTGGTATATGTATATACTCACTTCCGCGCTGCAAAGGTCCACCGTTTGCGAGCGAATGCAGGGACAGAGCATATGCTCCGGCTTACGCTGTAGAAGATTTCTACATCCCAGGGAACTCCAATCCATCACAGTTTGTCGTGACAGATAGATCATGATCGAGGCCTCCGGTGCGAACACCCAAAATTCAAGCAAGGCCAAAGCTCAGGACGTGCGACTGTAGAAGAATAAGTACGCATTGTGCTCACAATCACTAAGATCCTCGGGTCTACAGCGCACCGCCTGCACATTGTCGTCCGTAATGTAAACGTTATCATGATCGATCATAAGAGCCTTGTAGTGTCCACTCACCGGCGTCTCTCCTAAGTGGTAAGCCACTGCGCACAGGGTGAAAGTGGCATGCCAGAAACGACCACCTTGGGCAAACACGGGGAGCCTAACCAGACGGTCAAGCAACACTCTGTACTTCTGTTTCCGTGGCGCTTCTGACTGCCCGTCAATCACAAACCTGCTCGCCTGCAACACAAAACAGGATGGGCACTGTAGAGCAGCGTGAACATGTTCCTGGCCATGCCAGGTATCAATAAGCTGTTGCACCGAGATTTCGCCCTTCCTATGTGAGGCGATGTCCGCAGGTGGATGTACAAGCAGTGGGGCAAAACATCCCCCATCATTATGGACCTCAGGAGAGTCCCTCCCTACTGAGGCCCAGATGACTCCGATTTGTTCCGCAAAGCCAGGATACAGCCCTACAAGATGTTGCAGAAATTCAGCAGCATCATGTTGCATCGCCGGTCGTTGCCAGCCCCGCATGATGGCTCGCCAAAAAGGATTCTTATCCTTCTTTGCCAATCCTTCCATATGAAATAAATAAAGCAATCCGGAAATCATATCATATAAATGATTCCAGATTATATTCCAAGCATATTTGGAAAGGGAACATATCCCCCTCAGGAAACGTTATCATAATGAAATGCGCTCAAAGACGGACGATCTTTTTCATGCGACGGGGGAATGCACGATTGGTTCGACTCGGCCAGCAGCCGACGCCGCACATATTCACCACATGTCTCGATGGCCCTTGCACATCAAGCGGTGCTCATTCCCCCCAGGGTGGGAGGGTGGGTCAAAACTTTCAAAATCGCTCTGCCTTCAGAGCCGCATAGCCTGAGGGATATATTCAATCTGTGAGTCACCACAAAATACAAGGCCATGCAGCATCCAAGAGTACATGCGTGACATGAAACAAATTCTTGGCCATGACATTAAAAAGGCATGTGCATTTGAGCTGACGCCCAACACCTCCCTCATAAAATTTTCAAAAGGAAATGAAAGAACAATTTCACATGAAAGGACGGTGAGCATCTCACCTGTTGGCTGGAGGATAAGAGGGTATCACGATGCGTGAGATTGTCTTTATCCTTCTTTGCCAATCCTTCCATATGAAATAAATAAAGCAATCCGGAAATCATATCATATAAATGATTCCAGATTATATTCCAAGCATATTTGGAAAGGGAACATATCCCCCTCAGGAAACGTTATCATAATGAAATGCGCTCAAAGACGGACGATCTTTTTCATGCGACGGGGGAATGCACGATTGGTTCGACTCGGCCAGCAGCCGACGCCGCACATATTCACCACATGTCTCGATGGCCCTTGCACATCAAGCGGTGCTCATTCCCCCATCCACACATCACCGCGCCATCCATCTTTAAACTGCCTCCAACATCGGCTGCACCTTTCGGAAGCGTTCCTCATACTCCCCAAAGGACAACCTGGAAGCTGCATCAGAAAAGTTGCTCTTGGACGGCACCCGGCAGTACCACGGAAAACAATGGTTCGCAACATCAAGTTCGGCAATGTCCGCCAACATACTGGCCGCATCGACCAAAGGCGAATAGTTTCTGATCAAGGCCGCCTTGGCGGCTTCGTTATCCACAAAGAACAACGCCCTCCGATTCCGCAACACCTTTCCCCAAGTGCGTCGCGCGATTAAGACTGGATACAGTTCTGCGAAGAAAATCAGTTGAACTCGACCGGAGCTACGCCAAGCCTCAACAAGAGGCCCTGGGATGTGGCCCCCAAACACCTCATGAGTCTGCGATGCGACGTCCACGATAACGGCCCCATGTGTCACCTGAGAGCCGCGTTCCTCACACGCCCCGTCCGTAAATACAATGACCGGCGGCTGCTCAGACCACAGGTTCACCTGACGGTCCCCAGCAGCCTTCAAGGTATCCAAAGCGCGACGTACAGCCGCCTCGACACAAGCATGGGCCCCTGAACCTTGGTGCTTTTCAGCATGATGAATAAGCTGCGTAGCCACCTGTGCGCAACGACCGAACACATGCGAGGCTGCAAACAAGAGCTTACCCTTAAGGGAAGGAAGAGAGCGCGCCCCCTCACCGGGGTCGGAGGCAAGGCGTTCCACCATGTCGCCAATCTCTTCCACGCGCCCAGGCTTATTCCTAATCCTAATCAAGCCCCGGCCAGCATCTTTGAAGGATAGCACGGCCCCAAGCATAGTGAACTCCGAAGCAAAAGGTTTAAGCTTGTCGCCATCAGACACCTCCCAGCCAAGAAGGTCCAGCAGTGCAAGCGCAGCCTGATCAGCCGAGTCGGTCAGACCATCGATCTCAAGTTGGCAAAAATCGTCAAAGAATGACGTATTCACAAGGAGCAAAAGTCTCGACATGATAATGCGCAGGGCTCGGGCGGCCCGGTTAAAGCCTGTCACTGCGCTCGACGCTCCGAACGGAAGCGCGGCACTCTCAAAGTAAGAGACGGTGCCGGTGTCTGGGTCCAGGACACCTAGCACCGATGCCCAATCGTCTGAAGGGTGCCGGGCTAACTGCTTGTATGCGCTCCGCAAGTCTAGGGCTCGGCCCTTCAGATTTCTTGCCCGTCCGTCCCTGAAGTCCCTATGCAGGCGGCCCTGGTAGACGCCTCCGCCGGACATAGGAAGCCGGAAAACCTTTGTGCCGGCCACTGTGGATCCCAAGTGGAACCTCGCAAGTGCCACAATATCATCGAGCCCCTCAAGCTGAATCTTCTCTGTCTCAGTAACGGAGGCATTTACCTGAAACTGCGACAAATCATCAACCGCCCTAACCTTGTCACCCTGGGAAACCCCAAACCTTTTGGAAGCCACCCAAGTGCCACCATACTTCTGGTCCATTTGCTCCCAAGTGAAAGGGCCGGCGAGCCAACCTTTCTTCACCTGAGCAAGAGACTCCTCCCAAACGGACCTTGCGACATTCGGGTCTTTAGACGCTTTCCGGCAGGCCGCCTCGATCAGGTGTTTCGACCAAGAGGCCGTGCGCCGGAGTTCGTCCACCGAGATAGACGCAGGCTTATACTTAGGGGGGAACAACCCAGAAGGCTCTAAGGGGCCCGTGAGTCTAAAACCCCGAACCATATCCTCGAAGAGGTGCTCGTCAGGCACACCGGCATCCAGCAACATCTGCTTGAACAGCAGGAGATTCTTGGACCCCATCACCTCCCGGACTGATGGGTCCATGGACTGCTTAAGCTCACGTTCATCATCCCGAAGTGATTTCTCAAGCGCCCTATAATGCTCCAAGACTGAGAGGCGCTTCTGCTTTACAGCTGCAACCCCGCGCTCAAGAGTATATGCTATGGCCCTAAGGTTCGGACCGTCAATGGACACGGCACTATCAAAGGGATGCGTGGTTGCCATGGCCTCCTGCAAGAATTCTTGAGGTGTGTGGTACACCCCAAATTCTGCCTCGCGGCGCTCAACTCCCCCATCCACAAAGACGCGAGTCCATAGCAGCTTTGAACCCGAAGGGATGTCAACCAAGCATGGCGGCGGATCAGCGGGAACGCACTCCGGTGGCTGAAAGTCCCGAGGCAAGAGAATGCGGTGCAGGCGTTTGTATTCAGCAGGACCCACGACACCACGGCCCCGCCGGGGCTGGCGCTGTGCAAAGGTCGCTGCGATTGCGCCGTCAGTGGATTCGGACGGTTGCACACAAACGCCAACACGCTCAAGTGCCAGCTGAATCTCGCGAGCAGCGGCAGCACAGAAGCTTGCAGGGTAGGCCGTTTCCTCGGAAGTGGCATACTTCCATTGCCCGGTTTGTGGGTCCCGGGACCGACCCCATCGTTTATGTTTGTGCGCCCCATCACACTGCAGCATCAAGCCGGGCAAAGTGCAAGTGGCCAGCAGAGCCGTGCGTTTGCGCCGGGAAGATCCGTACATGCAGGCATGAAGCTCATGCCAGAAACCATCCGGAATTTCTGAACGGAACCACGAAGTTCGCCACATCAAGCTGCCGACGGGATTCTCCACAATGCACAAGATGCCATTGGACTTGCAGAATCGGAAGACCTTTGCAGTAAAGTCATACAACAGATTTGCACTGTTGACGCGGTCACGATCCACATCCGCCAGTGTTGGAAGCCCATCGGGAAACTCCTTGGACCGCAAGGGCTTGGGACCGTGTTTAGAGTTGCCGAGAGGTATCGACCTAGCGCTAGATGAAGTCCCGCATGGGGGCGCCAGCCAGACGGCATCCGCGCGCCGTAACTCCACCCACAAGCGTTCCTGCTGCTCAGGGTCTCGCAGGTCAAGGCTGATGAAGGGTGCATTTGCATGCTTAGCGGTGGGCTTGTGATCGACGCCGAGAACCTGAAATCCCAACTTTCGCACGGCCGCAGACAAACCGGCGGAACCACAGAAAATCTCCAGGAACGAAGGTCGGATTGACTTGCCACTGTTGCGCAACACCCCAGAGGACTCAAGTGGCGCGTTACGGTCGGATGCCTGAGGCCGCATCGGGCCGACTGGGACCGGGTTTGTCGGCCCTGGTTCCTGCAACGCAGTTGTGACACCTAACCTAAGGGGGGACTCGGGACCGGCCGTCGAGTCAGGGCGCCTATCAGGGAGCGGGAAACCCAAAGCGGAAAGCTCCTTCCTATGGCCAGGGCTAATCCCATGAGGGTTGCGAACCGTAAACCCGACAAGAACCACCCGTGAACCCCCAGCCCACGGCATGACACAGTGAGGCTGCTGTGCATCAAAGGACAAAACTTGTCCATTAAACGGCAGGACACGTCCATGTGCTTGCTCGTCGGACAAAGGGCATGGCACGTTGCCTTGCGGGTCTGCAATCCAGAGGCCGCCATCGGAGAAGTTTGACACCTTAACGATGGTATTCAGCTGTTGAGGATCATTTCCCTTGTCAGAGTGAACCCTCGTCTCAAGATTGCGAAACAGCGCCAGTGTGGTATAAACCGCAGATGGCGCCTGCTGTTTCATGAACGCGTTCAAGATTTTTGTTGTGTGTGGGAACTCGCGGCAATGTTGCCGCAAACCATGTCGCTCACCATGATCAAAAGTATATGCGCCGGTGGTAAAGGAAAACTCGGTTCCGTGGCCTTGAACCCGCGAGCCGCGAGATGGGGCCTCAGACGGCAAAAGACTCAACAAATGAAGGATTGTAGCAGCATCGACTTGGCCGACGCATGCAGAGGCGAAATGTTCTGCATTCGAATCACTGCGGTTGCCAAAATGGCTGTTAGCAGTGTCATGCACAGGCGCGGACGCAGCTGCACCAGCCTGGGAAATGTGCCTGGGCCCTGACCCTAGTCACGAAGTCTTGTGATGCGAGAAGACATGGCTTGGGTCGAAACAGGAAGGGTAGCAGCACACATGGGCCCCCTTCGGACAGGAGCCAGCAGCATTCGGGCACTTCTTCAGATTGTGATCGAAACAGATGTTATTCCCGCTGTCATCCCGGGGCACTCCCCCAATCAGCGCCTTGGGCATAACAAAGCGCACCTTGCGCTGCTTGGTCGGCTTGTCGGCCGCATTCGGCCCCGACCCCTTGCCAGCATTCTGGTCTTTGTCACCACGCGAGTCCTTATCCGTCGCCTTCGACGGGTCGGTCTTCTTCGGTGGTTTGGGCAACTTTGGAGGCTTTTCAGTGGCATCCCCAACTGAAGCAGAGCCCTTCTGGCGAGGCATAAGCATCCAATGGATGTGTGGCCCGCTCAGAACCTTACCGAGCGGCGCGTCCAAAGGAAGGGCTCCTGAAGCATCGGGCGTTAGCCCCGCACGCGTATGCTCACCCATACGCACATGGATCTCACGATCAGCTGCCTGCAACTGTGCCAGTGACACGGGATGGAATCCTTGCATGGGCTCACGTTGATACTCCATAAACAAGCGATCGATTAGTTCCTCATGGCGTTCAAACGTCATGATGGCAGCAAGCTCATAGGCCACCCCGCGCCTTCGGAGGGCTTGCATCACCTCGAGGTCGGACTTAGTCTCAGCCGTGAGCCGAGACCCCGGATCCACAAGTTTGACCGCACCGGTCCGACCTCCTTGCAAGACCTTCAAGCTAGAATCCTCCTTCACAAGGTTGATTTCCTGGGCCCGACTGGTACACTTCGACCATTCAATGTATCGGACACGTTGGTCCTCAAGCATCTGAGCCGCCAAGTTCACCAAGGAATGGGAAGGTTCTAACCGATCCACTAAGCGTAAAGGGGACACCCTGCGCTGCAAGACATTGTACCTAGCCGCAAGCTCAGCCGTCGGCACCTTACGCGGCTGATCAGACTCCGTCGACTCGGCCGTGCGCTTGAGCTCGGCCGCAGTGAGTGCATACGCCTCAAAGTGCAACCGGCGAAGCTTAGCATGATGCTCATCGCCATCTGCCCCCAGGATCGGGGTCGCAACACCTGTCTTGAACACATCCTCAGCGATACGGCCAGGCTCGCCCGGGACACAAAAGGCAAATGTTCCGAAGGTCGACCATCCCTTGCGCTTCAACTGGTTCCTGGCCTCCTCAGGTAATCCAAGCTGGGTGCACTTCGCAAGAAACACAGCTTCGCTATCAATGGCCGACATGGTGTTGCAAGAATCTACGTCACGTCCTAAAAGCCATGCCCGATCTCACACGATAAAAGAAAAGAAAATCTACAATCATCATGGCATCTCCGTGTACGAACATGTTCACATGCGAGCCCACCTTCGAGCACGAAACCTGCGTGCATACCACGACAAGTGTCCGTCCTGCATGGGACGTCCCTCCTCAACTGATTTAGCTACCCATCGACAGCCAAGAGAGAGAGAGAGACGCCATGAGAAGGATTGAGTCATCTGTCACCTCACAACCGCAGACACAGTGCACCTGGACAACAGCAACATGCCCAGCATGGCTCCGACTGTTTTCTCACATCACTGCCTCAGGTCCTTGGCCCCCCAACACGAGGAACACTTGTGAAGCATGATGGTTGGTACCTCGTCCAGAAGCTCATAGTTTCGGTTTGCGAAGCGGCCGCACCGGAAGACTGTCATCTCCCCCTCATCTGGAGGCTGATCGTCCCTAGCTGCGTGGATCACCCCGCTCAACTTATGCTGAAAACACCGAACGGACCGCCTGGCGTCGTCAGAGACTTGCAAGTCAGACCCAAGCGCAAAAATGGACACTCCCGCCTCCTCGGCTTCACCGGCAGACCCAATGCTCTCTGCTGGCGATTCCGGATCAGACTGCACAACCTCGTCGGCCCCAGCAGCCTCGGCCGTGCCGGGTCCCGAGGCCTGACTGGGAGCCGGCTTCCCCGACAGAAATCGGATCGCATCATCCACCGAGCGCACGCCCTGGGTCCAGCGCCCAGCCCTGGTAGCGTCGGGTGCAAACAACCCGCTCGTTATGGTCAAGAACATACACTCCAAGAAATGCAATGCCGGTGCAAGGGTATCGCGGGAATACTCAAGGGTAGAGGAATTGGCAGACCTCAAGTGATACCCCGCAATGGCACGCAGATTCTCCGGAGCACCCGCCTTGGCCATGTAGCTCAAAAGTGTTGCCTTCAAGCTATGGGTAGCAATGTCCCCCCACTTGAAGTCCAGATCTAAGGGTTGGCATTCCTTCAGAACCTCACGCAACCACAATGCCCCGAGAGACGGATCAAGCGGTAGGGAGTCAAATCCCCCAGTGCACAGAGGCCTCGGCATCATGGGAACGCCCCTTGACGCCCTGAGCCCGAGCCGTCGCCGCCGTTCTAGCCAAGCTTCCGCCCAACTGCCCTCCGCAAGACCGGGCGAGATGCAGGACACTGGCAGCAACCGATGCCTAGCCAACGATCCCCGGTTAGCAGTTTTATGGTGATAAAGCTGGGCGTTCAGGAATCCCTTGCCCTCATGAACATCCAATGTCGGCTCTGCCTCAGTGTGCTGAGCGTCACTCCAGCGCAGCCTTCCATGGAGGCAGTACAAGGCGTAGCCAGCCAAAACCGCCGCTAGATCGTTGTCGGAATGCAAGACAAACTCCTCAAGCGCCCTAACCTGAGCAACCGTCAATGGCACCTTCTTGCGAACAACCACAGCCTGAACCTGAGGGTTTGCAGCCCCTTGGATACGCGCCGAGCTCGATGCATCACTTACGTCTGCACCTAGCATCGCGCCAGCAAAATTGATTGCTTCGCGGAAGCGCGGTGCACGGGACCTGGGAGCCCCCTCACTCCTCAAAAAGCAAACGTACAAGTAAGCCTCGGCCTCGTCCAAAGGAAAGACCGCTGGGTCCAGACCAACGGATGCCCTCCACCGCGCATAATGTGCCAAACTTGCAGCCCTAGCCTTGAGCGTAGAAGTTGACTTAGCCGAGAACACATCCCTAAGGCATTGATCTACAGCATCTGCCGAGGATCCCTCCTGCTGCATCTTGGCAAGATTTTTACCAACCCTAGTGCCCTTTCCAGAAGTCAAGATGATCAGCCGCCACATTTCAAGTGCCGCGGTCCGTCGATCGTCCTCATGGTCGGCCCAAGACCGAGAGTGGACCACCGCTGCCTTCCACGGCTCCTTTCTAGACCTTATCTGCTGAGGAGTCTCGCAGACCTGCGGCCCCTGGGTAGCATGATCCGGACTCCAAGGCACAAGAGGTGACGGCAGGAAGCCCCTAGACCCAAGAACCGAAGACAGCATCCCTGTATCCCAAGGCAAAGGCATCTCGAACGATGTGGAATGCAACACGGTCATCGCATGTTGCACTGTCGGAGGGTAAGGTGCCCTAGACGCCCTAATCCGAGCCCTAAGCCAATCCCCCATACCCAAAACACTGGGCCGGTCTGTCGCCGGATGGCCTGTTTGCACAAGTTCACCCGCCATGTAAGCTATGCAAGTTGAGCAGCAAAGGCGCGAACCCGCTGCACAATGCGCTCCAGCCACACGACACGATGATTTGTATAATCACGGGCCGACTCCAATGCTCGGATGCGATTCTCAAAGGACTCCAACACGCGAATCCTGCACTCAAGATACTCGCAGCGGTCCGAAAGCACCTGTGTGTCCTGCTGTGCTGCACGGAATTGCTCTTGCAAAGCCCAATGATCCCGCTGCAAGTCTGCAAGGTGACGACTGATGGCACTCACCGTCGAAACCGTGCTATCGGCCTCAGAGTCAGGCTCAGCGGCCGGCTCAGCAGCTGGGTCCATCCGCCCCCGTCCACAGGGGGCTTGCACGGAGCCCTAAGGGCACAGTCTGAATGTAACCTAGAAGTAAGAACTAAGCCCATGACATGAGACTGGAGACGTGTGCCGCATCAAAACTTTCAAAATCGCTCTGCCTTCAGAGCCGCATAGCCTTGAGCCAAAATGGCTACGGTTGCAGAAATTCAGCAGCATCATGTTGCATCGCCGGTCGTTGCCAGCCCCGCATGATGGCTCGCCAAAAAGGATTCTTATCCTTCTTTGCCAATCCTTCCATATGAAATAAATAAAGCAATCCGGAAATCATATCATATAAATGATTCCAGATTATATTCCAAGCATATTTGGAAAGGGAACATATCCCCCTCAGGAAACGTTATCATAATGAAATGCGCTCAAAGACGGACGATCTTTTTCATGCGACGGGGGAATGCACGATTGGTTCGACTCGGCCAGCAGCCGACGCCGCACATATTCACCACATGTCTCGATGGCCCTTGCACATCAAGCGGTGCTCATTCCCCCCCAGGGTGGGAGGGTGGGTCAAAACTTTCAAAATCGCTCTGCCTTCAGAGCCGCATAGCCTGAGGGATATATTCAATCTGTGAGTCACCACAAAATACAAGGCCATGCAGCATCCAAGAGTACATGCGTGACATGAAACAAATTCTTGGCCATGACATTAAAAAGGCATGTGCATTTGAGCTGACGCCCAACACCTCCCTCATAAAATTTTCAAAAGGAAATGAAAGAACAATTTCACATGAAAGGACGGTGAGCATCTCACCTGTTGGCTGGAGGATAAGAGGGTATCACGATGCGTGAGATTGTCTTTCCAAACATGGTAGATCCCACTGTGACCTAAGGCTCCCTTGAGGATAGAGCATAAAGTCGAGGGGAAGAATCCGGCAAGCCCCCCAGTCCTAACAGACAGCGTCAGCAGCCCCCTCAGCACAACATTGCTGTAGCAGTAGTTGCACTCATTCCCGAGTCGAAGGTCTAGGATCTGCCGCCCCAGTTGGATTTCGCCTGCATCGCCGCGAGCTTCTGGGGCAGAGGGCCTCGCTGAAGTCGTTCCGGCCGAACATTCACTCCCGCTGCCAGCCAGATGGCTGAGCCACATAGATCCCGTAGCAGTCCCCAAGCCTTGTCCGCTGATGGTGTTCGCATCCCAAGATCCAAGAGCATCGGCAGCGTTGCCGCTTCCGTCTCCTTGGTCATGGGCCGTGTGGCATGAAAGCGGTTCACCACCAATGGCTCCTTGCACAGAACCACCAACTCCATGATCATGCTGAGCGCTTTCTTGACCTCCAGCTGGGTGCCCTCCGAGTCGATCACATGCTTCTTGGCCTCGTGGTCCCACTTCATGCGATTGAGCTTGGTGGCATCCGCTGTAAGCCATCCAAGCTGGATAGCCGTAGTCTTGGAGTCCTCGGCGTTCACCATCTGCTCGAACCTGGATGCCACTGCCGTAAGAAGAGCTTGGCACAGCACCACCCGCATCGGTGATTCCAACTTCGCCGGCTCCTTCTCCTTGGTCTCTTTCCAAGTCACTCCTGTGTCGTAGAGAGCCCTGGCCAAGCTGCCCTCCATGTCCGTCCTGATGAACACCATGAAAGAGCTGTCCAGCCTGAGAATCGACAGTTGATTGTCGTGGCGTAGAAGAAGGGTGGTGAGGAGGTCCACCCGCGTCTTCAGATACTGGATGTACTGGTTCTCGCGGTGATTCGAGCTCCACTGATCTTCCTCGTACCATTCCTCCTGTTCCGCTTCCTGGCGCCATGGTGCCTGTCGGTACTTGCCCTTGCCGCCGCCCTTGGCTGAATGCTGCTTGGATGCTCTGGCCGGCTGTCGCTGGGGCTGGCCTTTTCCGAGGTCTGCCGAGCCTTTGGCGCCCGGTTTCAGCCACTTCTGTGGCCTGTCGGACTCCAATCTGCGATCGGCCTCGTCCACTTGCTCCCGCCCCATGGGCACATCCTGTGCCTCCTGCAGGGCCCCTTGGCTCAGAGCGGAAGGCAACCCCACGCTTCTCTTGGGTGCAAGGGACTCCATCATTCGTAGCTCCTCCGTGGCTTCTCGTAGTCTCTGCTTGGCCACCTCCTCGGTTGTTGCTTCCTCCGACAGAGGTGGGAGGGTCATCCTGGGAGTCGCGCAGCTGCCTACCAAGCCTGTTGAACAAGAAGGCTCCATGGAACAGGGCAACGCACGATCGGAGATGTGCATCTTTCCGACTGAAACTCTCTCCACAGAACCTGCATGGACTGACAATGCCCAGTTTGCTTTCTTGCACAAACATCGCGCATCGATCAATCTGAGGCTTTAGTTCCGGATGTTTCGCCAGCATGTGCCGCTTGACATATTGGGGTCGGATAGAGCGGTGGAAGCACTCAACACAGTGATGCAGGCTTTGTTTGGTCTCCGGGTGAGCAGCAAGGTCTAACCAACTACCATGGCCAGCAAGTTTAATAATGGCGGGGCTTTCAACTAGCGCTTCCGTCAAGACAGCAAGGGTTTCACCAACTTGGGCTGATTGGTAAATTTGGCGGAGCATAGGACAGCTGTGAGAATTCACGTGATAATGGAAATTCGGCCAATTATTAAATCGCTTCAGGCAGTGTTTGCACCAAGGGAGACCATCTTTCGCGTGCTGCATATGCGAGGTTCTGGCTTGCCGCTGAACCTCTTGTTGCCTGTCCTGTTGTTCCTGTTCAGCTAAATGCTGCAAGTACACATGACGTCGCATGGCTGCCTGTGTGCCGAACTGCTGCCCGCACTCCGGGCACTCGAAGATTTCAGCAATCTGATGTACTGGAACAACACGCACTGGCATGGGTTCGGCAGACAGGCCCTGCTCAGCGAGCTGCACTTGGCTGAGAAGTACAGCTCTCCATTGGAGCTGTGCCTCGGAGGGTTTAAGGAGGGGGCCTAGAACCGAATCTAACCTTTGGCGGTGCAGGATGGCCTGATGGAGGCGTTCCAGCGGTTGCACAATCCGCAGTCTGCTCGTGAAGTCCTGGTTGGTTTCATGTGTCCACATGCTATGCGAGTTCACAACCGTTCGGGCCTGCTGAACAATGAGACTTCGCACTTGCATTGCCTCGGGGTTGGTCAAGCCCGTACAATCCAGGCCATGGAGAAGACACGATGGGATGCATGCATGCCAAAGTCTGAGCCGCAGCTGCTGTGGCACTGCGCGGCATCGTAGGATTGGGCGGAGGCGGCTGAACTGACCTGTTGCAAGAGCCACCCGGTGCTTCAGAGTATCAGGACCCATTCTACGGTAGCCAATCACCGCTCCTAAGTACACATGGTGTTGCACGATCTTGAGATCAACCTGCTTGGCTCCAAGTCTGAAGCGCATATAGAGGCCATCTTTCAAGGCAACTGTATACTTGCGGAGGGCCTGTTGGGCCTTTGATCCCCGAAGCTCCACAATGATGACAGTTTTGGAGGTGCTGATCTCGAGACCATGGGCACTCAGGTGAATGAGGACTTGGCGAATTTTGGAGTAAGCCTCTTCGAGAGCACGGCCCGACTTGATGATCCACTTGTACAGAAAGTCGTCGGCGTAGGCTGTAGCACAGCATGCTTTTTCCACTAGGTTCATACCTGGGAGTTGCTTGAGGAGCCAGCCCGACACCATCGCCCACAACACAGGCGATAGGCCACATCCTTGTCGCAATCCCGTGTGCAACGGAACATCTTGTTGGCACTGATGATGTGTTACTCGGATGCATGCTTGATCGTGTATCGCGAGGATTGCCTCGAGTAAAGCTGATGGAACAGCAGCGTCATTGAGAGTGTCCGCTAACATGCTTCGACTAACACAATCATAAGCCTTCGAGATGTCGAGCGACAACATGATGCCGCCCTCCACACAGTGTAGCTTGGCGGTTCGACTGCTAGTGTATGGATTCCGACTGTGCGCAGCTAACAGGGCCTTCACTTCGGAGCAGTGGGCGGCCACTCGCTCCAGTGCTTGTGAGAGGGACCTTTGTGGAAGGTATGCGAATTGACTAATGTCACTGAGGTGCATACATACATACATACGTCCATATGTGCATACATACATACAAAACATAATGTAGCATAACGAAACATACATAAACAACATACACGTGCATATATACATAAACATATACATATGGATATACATACACATATGTGGAGACACAGGCATATACATATGCGTATAGGTATACATGTGCATATACATGTACATGTACATGTGATGTACAAATCTACATATATATGTATATGTATATACACATATATGTATACCTATACACATGTATAAACATACATACATGTATAAGTATATACATATATACATATATACATATATACATATATACATATATGCATATATATATACATATATACATATATCCATGTATACATACATACATATATACATATATACATATATACATATATACATATATACATATATGCATATATATATACATATATACATATATCCATGTATACATACATACATATATACATATATACATATATACATATATACATATACAATATACACATATATACACATAATACACATATCACATATTACACATATACACATATATTACATATGTATACATATATACATATATACATATATACATATAACATATATACAATCTAACATACATACACATATATTACATATATACATATATACATATATACATATATACCAATATATAATACATATAGACATATTATATACATATATACATATATACATATATATACATATATACATATATACATATATACATATATACATATATACATATATACATATATACATATATACATATATACATATATACATATATACATATACACATATATTTATATATACATATATTTATATATACATATATACATATATTTATGGGCGCACCCCTATTTGGGGTCCCCTACGTTTTTCGCTATACCAACTGACTCGGTTATAACCACCAGACTAGGTTATATCCAGCCGACTAGGTTATAATCAGGTGTACGTCATCGACTACAGTATTATATCCGGTTTGAAGACTAACCCGGGAAGTTGCAACAACCCATGCTTTCAGGATGCTGAAACCCGCACAACGCTAAGAATTCTATGACACCCTGGTCGAAACCCTGTTACAATGTGCTAAAATCCTTGCCTTGAAGCCGTCGATATATCTTCGTAGTTCATCTTTGTGTGACTGTATCTAAACCGCCGTATTTCAGTTTTTTCCAACAAGCGCGCTGTTGTCATGAGTCTGCTTCAGTCATTCCTTATCGCGAACTAGATTTTGGAACGAAAAGTTCTCCATCTTTGTACTGTAATGCCGCAATCCCACCAAAGTCTCAGTTGTTGGACGCATTGCTATGACGTTTTGGCAAACTGATAGCTTTCAATGACATATCCCTGTGCCCCCATGTGATTGCTTTTAAACACTGGTATATCCGGTAGGTGTATTTGAGTGGTGCATTCCTTAATTCTGTATGACGGCTGCCCCAAGCCAAAATTGAAAACTTGCATACTACAAGCTTAGCAAACGGTGTATAGTGTTTTTCCTGGGGGACGACATGAAGCGTCGCTTCTTAGGACGCGCACGGTCTCTATATGCTGAGTGATGAAGCCTGTGTTTTTTTGTATCAGCATACTTTAACCATCACGTAAAGCCGACTGAAAACCATAAGGCTACATCTAGCTTGTCCGAATTTCTGTTTGTGTTCTTGTGAATATTCACTGAAGGTCGAATAGAAGCCATTGTTCCCAGTCCAGAACGTGATCCTCGTGTTAGAAAAAGCGGAAACCACACACCGAATCACTCCTCGAAAGAGGTTCATCCATGTAGTTGGAAATAGCAGTGCTAGGAATTTTCTACGTACCGAGTGAGGAAACCTAACAATTTGCAAGTTGCAAATTTTGTTTCGCTCACCACACATATTCTTATCAGTTTTGTCTCGTCGAAATCCGGCTTCCTTGGAACGATGTTTGAACATAACGTTGCAACCAGTTTGCCGATGTACGAAGTGATGAAACCTGACCACGCTGTAAACTTTGAAATACTGTCTCTCCCCTACAATGACGTCGTATCAGTCGTATCTCAACTTTCTGTGTACCGTGATATTCCAATGTTGACAACACTTACTGACCTACTATATTCCGCATTTTGATTCCTGGCTGAGTGACATGTTAGCGGCCATTCTCTCAATGTGTACACTGATCTCATAAACCCGATGTACTGGAACGGACAGACCATTATGTAAAGTCCGCCATATAGCCTTTCCGCTAAAGTTGGGGAATGCGCACATGGTCCCCGGAATTATGTTTGTTACAGAGCACTGCATCATGCCTCAGCAACCGAATACATGCCAATTACCTCGGACCCTCTATTCTTCTAGTCCTTGTGTAATTTCATTGCGGGTACACTCACTGAACACCGAAACTTTCGAACGTTTGGATTTAGGTGTTGATGAAGTAGCCGTGGCACAGGCCTGGTTATAACCTCTGTCCCCGGTTATAACCAGGACACCTGCGTAGTAGACAGCCCTAGACCCATCACTAAACCATTAAACCATCAACAAACCATTAAATTAGTACACCGTTAAACCAATCCTTTCCCCCAATGGACCCATACCATAAACCATTAAACCATTAAACCGATCCTTTTGCCCCATACCACTAAACCATTAAACCATTAAACCAATCCTTTACCCCATACCACTAAACCACTAAACCATTAAACCATTAAACCAATCCTTTCCCCCAATGCCCCTAAACCCTAAACCTAAACCATTAAACCATTAAACCATTAAACCAATGCTTTCGGCCCATACAGGGATGTGTCTCTCTCTATAGGGGAAATGATTGGTTTAATGGTTTAATGGTTTAGTGGTATGGGGCACAAGGATTGGCTTAATGGTTTAATGGTTTATTGGTTTGGGTCCATTGGGGGAAGGGATTGGTTTAATGGCTTAATGGTTTAATGGTTTATTGGTTTGGGTCCATTGGGGGAAAGGATTGGTTTAATGGTTTATTGGTTTGGGTCCATTGGGGGAAAGGATTGGTTTAATGGCTTAATGGTTTAATGGTTTAGGTGTGCAAAAACCCAGGGGACCCCATATAGGGGGGTACCCATATTTATATATACATATATTTATATACACATATATTTATATATACATATATTTAAAATTTATATACACATATATACATATATACATATATACATATATACATATATACATGTATACATGTATACATATATACATATATACATATATACATATATACATATATACATATATACATATATACATATACATATATACATATATACATATATACATTACATATATACATATATACATATATACATATATACATATATACATATGTATACATATATATACATATATATACATGTATATATATACATTATACATGTATATACATGTATATACATGTATATACATGTATATACATGTATATACATATATACATGTATACATGTATGCACATATACATAGACACACATATATATATATATATATATATACATATACATATACATATACATATACATATACATATACATATACATATACATATACATATACATATACATATACATATACATACATATATATATATATATACATATATACATACATGCATCCTTCCATGCATACATACATAGAAATTCCTCTATATATATATATATACATACATATACTTACGTGTTCCTAGATGTGTGTAGACACATATGTGATGATACATATATATATATATACTCCATGAGCAACCCTCCAGAGCCCCCATGTCCTCACCAGCTAACCCATTGGGCTACACCAAGCCTTCTTGTAGTTCGGCAAACCCTGACTTCGCTTGGCTGCCGCCTCTTTGCTGCGTTGGAAACAGCAGAGGCTACCAGGGTCTCGAATCTGAGTTGTGGTGTGAGGCTTTTACAGGGCCTTCGGTTTGTGGGGGGATTGCAGGCAACTTTGGACTTTGCAGTTTATTCCTTCCTCTGCACTTCAGGGTGCAAGGCCCCTGCAGAATAAGTTGTGCAGGACCTTTGCCAGAACTTAAGGTGCGCAGTTTCCGATTTCGGAGGCAAGGTTCGAAGACGGGAAATTAGAGGAAAGAAGTGAGAAGAATCCTCGAGTGCATGATACTAATGGCATCTCACGTCTTTTGAGGTGAATCCTCAACCGAGCTGTGTCAATTCTCTAAGGCTTTCCTCTTGGTCAAATGGCCAGATGAGTATGAAAAGTTTGAGATATCGGTGAGAAGCATGCACTTTGAATCGACTTCAGAGAGTGAGAATGCTATGTTCTGCTTGCTGCGAACTCAAGCGGTCCTCTTCATCAGAGAGCCGCCACACAAAGAAGCCCACCAGAAAGACATGTACCTTTCGGGACTAAGCCACAATGTGCTTCGCTTAAGCTCCTGAAGAAGTGAAACAAACCGGAAGCAGAGAAAAACAAAGCTGTCATGCGAAAGGGTGGCAGTTTGTTCCACACTCCGGAAAGCAATTAGAGACGTGTCGGCTTGCATCTGCTTAAATGCGGATTCCTCGGCCACTTTGTGCGGCTGAAGCTGCTAAAGCCATGCATGCAAGACTTTACTCAAATAGGAGCCGATTG